ATATACATGATAACCAAAGCTCAACATCTTATAACATATATCATAATGAATCATTTCCTCCTAATCATTCTAATGTTTCAACGGGTGATAATTCAGCCCAGAATAGTAGTAACATACCTAGCGCTACTAACCTAAACGAATATAAGACATCACCACCGAGCCCTGACCTTGATAAAAGTGAGGTTGTATTAGGAATTCACCTTGGAAGTAACCGTACAGAAAATTCAACATATGACCTTGATAAGGGAAATAATATTCTGGGGAATGGTAGTAATTTAGAGGCTAATGGTGATGGAATAGGTTCGCGGCAGACTCTGACCAATTCGACAGTCCCAGCGTCGGGTACCGACATGACAAATCAAGAAAAAAGAAACGCCACAAACTGGAGACATTTAGATGAAGATGTTTTAGACCTCACAAACAGGTCAAACTCTAATACTAATGGTGTCTATGATGTTAAGTCTGGTGGGATTGATCGACGCGTCAATACAAATAGACGAGACAAAACACCTGCAGGCATTGAAAAGACAGAACGACTCGTAGAACTAGAAGCACAAAGTGGCTTAAATATTAATCAAAATCACTCCACACATAACAACTCTGGCATTGGATCAAGAGAAGAAAACGGGAACATGACACTTCTTGATAAAGCTAGAGATGGAATTTTCAGTGATAATAATGGTGATTCAGGTATGGAAGAGAAATTGAAGGTGATCGGAGAGGCACAAAAAATGATCATAGAAAAGAACAATGAAACAGAAACTAATTTGTTCACTGTTAATAGCTTTATCTCATCAAACACTACTAAATCAACAGTCACAGATTTAAGGAGCGGTGGGGATTCGGAAAATGTTACCAGTCAAACAAACAAAGGAATGTTAGAGAGTGTTGTGTTCGGATCGGATAATGCAACAAGCAGTTTTGATGATAAAAGTGGAATAAGCGTGATTATTCCAGGAGGAGATGATAATGGAACTAATGGCTCAGATTCAGATATCGGTGATGTCAATGACACACAAAGTCACAATCAAAATGAGATGAGTCTGCATAATGATAACAGAACGTACGACGTGCTTCAAAGAAGTGATAACATGAACCTGTCTGCTATGCACAATAATAACAGCGATTACGATTATCAGTTTGACAAGCTAAACGTAACATCTGATAACAGTGAGTATACAGAATCGTTGTACAAAGCAAAGCCAACATTGCTTAGAGTAGTTATAGTACAGCTTGAAACACTAACATCAATGGCACGTTACTAATTCCAGTTACTGATATCCAGATAGGTTCCTCATTTACAAATACATCGAAATAACATAGCTTTCTCGGTTACAATGACATCAAGTTGATACAGTTGCTTCATCGCATTGATATTTAACAAATACAGTCGCATCTTTTCCAACGGTATCAAAATAATAACAGCTGTCTTTTTTATACTTACATAACCATAATACATTTGTCTCATTTACATTTGATAATCAGCATGAGTCATTGGGGACTGACGACATGTATGAAACAGACAATGCACAGAGTGATATGTAAGACGCACAGGAGCAAAGTTAACTCTCGAAAAATCCATACCAACCTATCAAATTTATATTGAGAAAGAACATCATCATAAAAATTGAACTTAATGTAAAAAAAAAGAACTAAACATCTACTGACTTGTTGTTTTAAAACAAGTATTGATTTTGATATTAAGTATATTGAAACTCTCTTCTTAGAATCACAAATAATAGATCATTAAACAATCACAATTATTTTGCGTTTACGCTACACTCATCCGATAGATTGCTAAATGCTAAAAGGCAATATATGAAAATTATGGAGACTTACGAGTAAATATCGTAAAAGCAATTATGTATGCAACGAGGATTAAGCTGGCGAAATTTGTAGGATTTTCTTGTAAGATGCACGTCTAAATCGTTAAGTGGAAACAAAAAATTGTTACAACGAATCAGATTTTATTCACTAAATATAAGACAACTATGGCTAAAGCTCGCTAGATTTGGAAGTTGATACTAAATATAGCTCAAAACCTTGTAAAATATTATTTTACAGTGAGAATGAAACTGCCAGAAAAGTGATAAGACTGATAAGTATACAAGAAACAGTGAATACGTCCAGAAACGCTCCTACAAGAGAAAGAATATTGCGCAATTGTAGACATTTGTTAAGAAATGTAAAGTATGATAGAGAATAAAGTCGTGTCTGCTATAATAAAGTAATTTCAAATCTTTATAAATAAAATAGTTTTAGTGACAGCATTGTTGAAATTGAAATTCGTCTAATTCGAATAGTAACACAACATCAAAATAATAGGACTCAGTATGGAAAACTCCAGTATCTATACGATATTAGTGGTTGTACAGAGCACAATGTGAGCAATAACTCCAGTATCTTATGATATTAGTGATTGTTCAGAGCTCAATGTGAGCAATAACACCGACTTCAGAATGTCATATTGTGTTTGAGGACACGCAAGATTAACATATATAGTCAGCAGTAACCAAACCAGGGAAAGCAGGTTTTATTACAGACGAATTATCACGCTGTATTACCTGTGTTTCCATAAACTTGTTTAAAAACCTTATTCATTTTAACAGAAAATTCGTTTACCTGCGTTTAGTACATTGGTAACACCTGTGAAAGTGACACTGATTAGACGACTAATTAACGTGATTAGCTTGTGCAGGGAACCATATAAAAAGTTAATAACTTTGGAGAACACACTGTTCATGCTCGACCGACTTTTACACACTTTATATAGACATTGGTATGGCTAGAACAAAACATGGCGTTTTAAAACACTATTATTATAAGTTGTACGAAGAATTGTTTCAAATGATTTACGGAACTAACGCATATATAGCAAGGTCTCTATCTGAAAGAGTATCTCGACAATCCGAATTTGTTAATTAATTGTAAGCTTTTAAGGCGTATCTGTAACCGTAACAATTAAATCAATATGCGTTTCAAAACAGTTTGAATTAAAGGCAGACACAGCAACGCATTTTCAATTATCTTTATAGATGATATGTTCTGAAAAGTGCCCATTAGGCACACAAGTGAGTTACATCTTTTAATACCATTTAGAATTAGAAACAGGTGACTTTAGATACGGTAGAGAAATATTGTTAATGTAAATGCATCACACAGCATTTTACGTATGAAATCATATTGCATTTCGTTTAACATCATGGATGCTGCAAGGATATATGGTTAAAACATATGCTACATTTATGTCATTTATCAATGTAACTTGTAGCAAAACTAACACTTAATTCATTGGTTCCTGATAACATTGTATCACATACTGAGTTATACCCGAGGTAAAGCATACTCATTACTTATAACTGGTCATGGTGTCGTACAACATAATTTAATTCATCAACTATACCAATTTGACTTACGTTATCATTACTTAAACAGAAGCTTTAGACATTCCGAGTGACTTGTGCTAGAGAAGAAGACTTTGTCCGCAACAAAGTGTACGTTGTTTGATTGTGATTCGACAAAGTGATATATATCGTCCAATGGAAAACGATGGAGCCATAGACCCAAAGAGAGGAGTATAATAGTACAACTAAGGAAGGCCGTCAAATGTTGAGGAAAGAATCGGAATTGGGAACTGCGGTGACAACAACGTAATCAATGTTTACAATATGCAATGAAGACTTCCATGAAACGGATTGATCTGCACCCAACGATTATCAAGCAGAACTACATCATTGAAGAGACGACTTCATTATACTACACCGATGATAAAAATCAAGAAAAACTTCTACAAATATCAATATTAAAAAATAATGTGCTCTTTCATGACATAATACAGCATGATATTACATCTTCTTTGATACACACAATACATATAAGACATTCTAATGAAGGTAAGCGACGATGACTTTCGAATAATTTCTCACAATCCAACGACTTTGCTTGAGATGGTAAGCAGAGGGATCAGTAAATTGCTTTCAATATTGGAGCTATGAATGTATATGTTGAATATAAATTGTGCATACCTACATTGTATATGCCTGAAAGGGCTTGTAATCTTCATACTCGGAACGCCACCGATGACGGAGGTACTTGTTCACGCTATGGTTCTGCGTGCTGGTACAGCTTAATATACGGCTGTAAGAGAGGGGGTTCATATTTCAGTGTGTTTTGTTCTGTATGTCACTTGTTTGTTATCTCGTTGTTTTCTTTGGCGACATTTACTATAACAATTGATATATCATTTCATGTCTTTTACGTTTGAATATAATATCATACTGTTAACATTTGTTGAATTTGTTTCTGTAAAATATGTTCTGATAAAATATGTATAACCAAGAAAATACATTTTCAGATGTAACATGTGAATGTGAACGCAATGTGCCACGTTTGATACCACTATGTTTTAACAAGTTAAACGATGTTTTCAACTGTTACTCATTTGCGTTGTGTTGTATTGTGTTGGTGTAGATGCTATGCTCTGCATACGTGCCTGCTTGGCAGAAATCGGTTTAGCCAAATATGTTAACCGGAAACCACAAGAAATGTAGTGTAATAGATATGAATGTAGCATGTTTTACACGTGTGTAACCCAATATCAAATATAAAACGTTTCATAATGATAATGTAATGTTTCTGTCTTCAAAGTTAATATGTATAATAAGTATTAACATGTATATTAATTGTAACTGTTTAAATGTTTCCTATACAAATCATCTATATGGACGTTTACCTGTATTTAACATACGTGTTCGTTTTTAACGACCTAATATAAAAATATCTGTTGTGTTTTCTTATGAATATGGTTTGGATGAACACATACGATTTCACACTTTGTGGTAAACTATACGTATTTTATATATTTTGATTTATTTCTCATTATAGCTCTCGGCCATAACAACCGCTGTTCTCCTGAGGACCCTGGAACATGCGCAATCGAGGCCAATTTGAAATGTTTAAAGACGAAGTTAACAGACGACTACAGATGTCAGTGTGACGAAATGGAATTCTGGGATAAGAAGAAATGTAGATCACGTATGTACAACATATATCGTGAATGATTCTACATTGATGATAAGTTGATTTTCTATGATTACCTTTGTTATTTTTTAGTTTGTTTTGTTGGTTGTTTTCTTACTAATAATCTATTTTTAACTTGTATTACAAGGTAATTCCCACAATTCCACAATCCAACAACCCCACAATCCTAAAGCTTTGGCAGAAACGGAGAGCTAATTTGATTTACAAAGATATCTTAAAATGAATGGAATGCGTTATAAAACTTCAAAATGTGTATTAATTCATTACATTAAGTATTGACTTACACATATTTAAAACACACATTTAATAGCGCATTGCTCCTTGTCAGTTTTTCGATCGAATCAAACAAATTTATTAAAGAAATTTGGAAAAGATTTAAGGTCGTATTCATAATTTAAAATTACTGTTTGAATCAATCAGCAATTCTAACGTTGTGAAATTGATGAGTGCATTTTTTAATATAAAAATATTAGTACGAATAGCTCTTTGCGTAATTGTACAAAACTTTACTGCTTACATTAAGTATTTATAATACCATGTACTGCTCTCATTGTGTCCATTATTTTTTATCTGGATAGTAAAGATTACGGCTTTTTTGTACCCTCGATAGGAGCTCGCTTTGAAGAGGAATGTCTTCCTGACTTTTATGAGAGCTGTCAGTACAAACCCCATCTGAAATGTATCGTGTCAGATAATGCTGAGAGGTACACTTGTCAGTGCGGGGAAGATGACAGTGTCTATTGGGATTCTGTTGTCAAAGAATGTAAACCCAGTAAGTAAGCTCAAGGGAAAAGAATACATCTTATTTAGGATTATATCATAAATATAAATGCGACACGTCTTTTCATCTATTATCATGAACTTGTTCAAAGGTAAAGTTGAAGTGTTATCGATATGAATGTTTGATCTACGTTCTGATTAAAACTTGATTAATTTAGTGAGAAGAATTAATAACGAAACACTCATCTACAAAATAATGATAATTTGTAAAGAATCATATTCCCTTGTCATACTTGCAAGGAAACTAAACAAAATAGTATCAATGACATTTACATGTGTGATGTATATAGGCGTGTATATAGCTAAAGTATAAATCTATGTACAAAATACGACTGCTATTAGACTTTTCAACTCTACAATATATAGAAACACAAATGGCTTATTTGTCATGAAATATAATTAGATTGCTGTTGTTTAGGTGTTATTCTATGCATTTCAATCAATTTTGCTGTTTTATTTATTTGTTGTAGTTGGTTTTGTATGCAGGCGTTAAGTCGAATGGGTTGAAAACATTACGCCACACTTTGCATATTTACCTTGCTATTAATACGGGGTCAGATTTGAGATTTTATTGATACCTCAACCATGGGTAATGTTAATTTAATTATGAGTGTTAGATTTCAGTGTTTATTTTTACCAGGACCTGACCATTCTGAACAATGTCAACCGGATATAGTAAATAGTTGCAGACATCATCATCAGCTCAAGTGTTTACCTTCAATGTCGTCAGCTTTCCACACATGTCAATGTGAAAACACAAATGAAACGTACTGGGATTCTAAAGCCAAACTCTGCCTCAGACGTACGTGATAACAATGTGTAAAGACATCAGTCATAAAAGATGATATATATCATACATTGTTTTTTTAATTGTCGTTAATTCATTTTATTTTCAAATTTATAGACGAGAAAACAAACTATAAGGCTTAACTCATTACAATATAGCTGGATTTATATAAAATTTGTAGCTCACAAGGCTAAACCACTCCCTAATCACGAATGTAATGTAATTATACTTTTAACTCAGTCCGATGTTAGGAAGCAAAATACCAACAGCCTGGGGGCGGGGGATATGTCTATAGTAACAAAACGGGCATAAAATCCATCATATTGTCGGCCCTTAGAATCACTGACGAATCCTAAAAGGAAGCTACATGATACAGTTTAATTCATTGTATGGCACTATTGTATCTAACTTTAATTTTGTATTAAACATGTTTAATTACCTGTGTATCTTTTGTAAAATCATTAACATCATTATCATGTTTTGTAATATTTTGCTATAATAAGGATATGCACGTATTCCATGCTCATTAGTGTATCTTGTGATTGTCATAGTTTCATGGATTTAAGTTTTAATTACGATTTCGTTAACGGAGAGGTATTTTCTTACTGTCTGTGACATGCAGATCATATACTGAAAGTGAAAAGCCAATTTTACAATATTTCCGTTTAAAACGTACCTCTCTTGAGGCTTTTAAAACCAATTCTACAATATTTCCGTATAAATCATTCCTCTCCTGATGCTTTTAGTTATAATTTCATTGTATATCTTTACTTTTATTCAAATAGGGTTCGAATATGGAAATGAATGTAACAACAACGTTACAAACAGCTGTTTACACAGTGGTCATCTGCAATGCTTAGAATCTGAGTTTCCCGGTAAACATATTTGTAGATGTGTAAATGAGACTACCCATTTTTGGAACCCAAACACTAATTCATGCCTAGCACGTAAGTATAACATAATAACTGATTACAATAGAATTGAATGTTGTAATATCAAAACTGAACAATTAATAAATCAATCAGCAAATTAATAAAGGATTGTCCAGCAGAGTAGTCGCTAATTATCTATGAATTGATTGTTCTATTAATATTTACTGAGTAACAACACGAAATGCTTGTACAGATTTTAATGTATAATCACTGAAAAACACCTAACCTTATTCTCCAAACATCTTGTTTCCTTTTTTTTTTTTTTTTTTTTATTTCATCGATTTTAAGCTTTAATAATGATTTTATAGCATATTCATAATATTTTCTATGTATTTTAGGGATATTATTTTGGTATCATTATCTTATTTGTAGATGTATATCACGGAAAACACAAAGGTTTTGTTTATATATTATAATAAGCATGTTCTTCCAACACGTTGTGATTCATATTAGCTTCCCATTGGATAACTCTTATATGTAACAGAGGATCAGTATTACATCTTCATAGCAATTCTAACTTATATTGTTAACTATCTCTTCAGGGCCAGAGCATGGCGATCACTGCTCAAAGGATTTCATAAATAGTTGCAAACATAATGATGAACTGGTGTGTCTGATATCGTCAATAAGTGGTGACTTCACCTGTCAATGTGACGACGAAGAAAAGAAATTTTGGAATACATTGAAAAAACGATGTATAACCAGTAAGTTGTTTTTTGTCCATTACTGCCGTTAGTGTGTTATATCGTATGTGAAACTCGATATTTTATACATGTACCTTGATCTCACTTGGCAACGTGACGACACATGGCGAGTATCGCCGATAAAGCAGAGGACGCATACTCTTCAGAAACAATTTTTTTCTTCTTTTTTTATGTTATTCCCTAGTTAGGATTCTGTTCGCGTGGTAATATATTTTCGTGGTTTTCTTATAACAGTTCAATGTATTCGTTTTCGGGTTGAATTTGCTGAAGGACGCAATGCAAATATTATAAAAAAATCCAATACACTTCTTTTAAAACAAATAAAGATAGTTCCATCACAAATCAGCGTGAATCAGAAATACAAAGTATCATTTATTATCATTCCAGGACCGTCATTCGGCGATCCATGCAAACCGAGTTTTGTGGAAAGCTGCATGTTTCCATCCGAGTTAAAGTGTATGAAGGTGGAAGGTTCCGACAACTTTACATGCCGATGTTCAAACGAGAAGGAAACGTTCTGGAATAGCTTATATGAAGTGTGTTCGGACAGTAAGTAAAGTTTGATTTTAATTTGTTAAAAGTAAATTTCAAAAATCTTTTTACAAATAGCACATTAAAGTAATTAATATGGGACTTTTTCCCCATCCCATTTTCCCTCTGACGTTTGAAGAGTTTTGATGGATGAGATACGATTTGAAGTACCAGGTAATGCATCAGTATTAAATTTTTCCTTTGATCTTTACGTGTTACATTGAATTTATCAATTTGATTTAGTGCAAAGTACGCATGCTATTAGTGGTGACATTTTAGAGCTATTTTATCCTTTTTTGTAATACAAAGGTGTAATATATTTATATAACTTACGAAATAAATATCACTCAATATTGTGAATAGAAATACAATACCTATCAGTAGGCTATGAATTTCATCTGACATTTCCGATGGGGATTATATTTTATGAATAAATTAATTAGTCTTTTGATATCTAATCGAGTGGAATTTCCAGGAAACATCATCAATTGTCCAATTGATTCATATTCTTTGGTTTGTACATGAAAAAATATAAAAGAAAAACAAAACAAATATACATACACCTTAACTGCCTTTTTACGATAATTATGGTATCGATAACATTATGAAGAGTGATTCTGAATGGAATTGAACTAGTCCAGTATAACCCTAACCTTACAAGAATATAATTTATCACGACATCGGTAGAAGAATTATGACATAATGACCCATTTTTCAGGACAAGGATATGGAGAAACGTGTGACGAAGAGTTTCCCGAGAGTTGTCTGTATTCACCTGAGTTGGTCTGTCAGCCACAGGCTGGCTTTGGAGAGAGTATCTGTCAGTGTGTTGATGAGTATTTAACTTACTGGGACCCGATAACGAGAGTATGTAAATCACGTAAGTGACTATTATACGTAGATGAAAGATTGCAGTAGGCTTTATCACCTCATACAAACGTGCAGCCTTGTTCTTGTAAACTTGTCAGAGATAATTAATTTGAAGAAAATGTACTGAATTATGGGGTTAACCTTCCCATCTAAAATATTATATTTCTATCGATCACTGAGTTTTCCTCGTCGCTTGCTAGCTTTAAAATCTAAGTCCATCATTGACGAGTCCTAGAAGTTGAATTCATTGTTTAGCTCTACCGTATTTTACTTAAGAAACTGTATTAAAATGTGTTTGTCATTTGTACAATCCTTGATCATATTTGAAAATATAAGTTATGTATAAGATTCATGATAGTGTTGATTATTCAAACGTTTCCGAAAAAAAGAAGCTATGACGTTGACGCTGGAGCTACTGAAAGGGTAAAAAATCTGATTACACTTTATTTCTGACTGCATATCAGAGCGATTTATGTTAAATTGTGAAGTCATATTGCGACTAGATCAGTTATTTGATGATTATAAATCGAATATATACAGAAAAGTAAATGGTAATTATCTTTGTTTATGGATCGATGGGGTGTTCCTTTATTTATTTCTAATCATTGACGTTTGTGATATAGTCAAAGGGTATACCGTTACTGATGTATACCCTTTCATGCTGACATGTTACGTTTCAGTAAGCGCTAATTTCTTTTTTTCAACAGGTCCAGATTTTGGAAATACATGTGAAGAACAAGAGAGTTGTAAATTCAACTCGCAGTTAAAATGTATTCAGTCGCCAAACAAGGACGTAAAGACATGCCAATGCGACAATTCGGATATATACTTCTGGAATCAAAATAGCTCTGTATGTTCTAAACGTAAGTATGATTTCAAATTCAAAATATTGCATTGACATAATAACAGAGGATTGGAAAACAGGCAGAGACAATACAAATCCTGTCCTACGTAATGATATGCAGACATATCTAACAAATAGCACTTTCTACATAGTGAATAACAGAAACATCGTTTTAACTGGCTCAATCTATAACATCTGCCACAGGGTCAAGCTATGGAGGAAGTTGTTTACCTAGTACATCTCGCAGTTGTCTCCACGATAGTGAACTGATGTGTTTGTCAACTGATACCGACGGTTCTCATTCATGCCAATGTCCTCATGATGACGCAATGTATTGGGACTCCATTGTTTTCAAGTGCAAAGAAAGTAAGTTAATGGCGCCGAATAGGGCGTTGTCTTACTGCCAATCATATTCATGTGCCGATTCATTGCGGTTTCTTTCCTTGTTTGTTGTTGTTTTTATATTGATGTGTTTAAAATTTTTTTAAAAAATGATATTAAATATACACACATTCTATTCAGAACAATAGTTGATAAAATACTTTTAACGATATAATGAAAGAAAATATATATTAAAGTATCTCATTTTTCTTCAATTTATAAGTATATGCTTCGAGAGGTTTTTGACTAATATACCTTGGGTTAATGCAGATCGATATTGATAAGTATTACTAAAAAGAGATGATTTTATTCAGTAAAAGGCCTGCGTCAAGAAAAAGAAACAACTTTTGTTTATCACGGGCATGCATTTATCAACTCATATCTACAACAATTACGTGTTGTTAAAAAAGAATTGTTTTAAAGTATGTGTTGAAAATGACCTTTAGTGAGATATGTTAAATATACAACGACACAAACTGACTCATTAATTGTGTGCTGTGTTATTTGTAGTGATGGTGCCCATTAATCACAATGTATTTCTCTCGTAGATTTTTTCATCTGTGAACTTTTATTCTACACGTGATTGATCATGCTATTGTGAAAAGATTACGTCAAACCGGTACTATAAGAATGAGTTTTGATTTTAGAAGCAATATTCGGTGCTCCCTGCGATGATAACTTCACTGAGAGTTGTAGTCATAGTGACCATCTGAAATGTTTACCTTCCCTTTCTGGTAATACAACATGTCAATGCGAAAACGGAACACAACTATTCTGGAACCCCGAGACAAACAAATGCCTTACAAGTAAGAAGATCAACATCTAAGTTACTCTAAATACATTTACATAAGATATGGAATAATTTTTACTAAGAAAAATTTGCAAGTTTAAAGACTTTTTTTCCAAATATGGTATATGTGGTAGCTTCTATTGTCATGCTGAATGCTGTTAGATGTTTTACAATAAATGAATAATGATGAAGGTTGAATATTCCTGTCATGGAAATTACAAACGAAAAGATCGTATATCTATAAAATAAAAAGGGGGGGGGGGGTGGATGGTATCTTATTTTAACGTAATTAACACGGTTTTAATATACTTATTTTCTTTTACGTAACTACAGGACCGGGATTCGGAGAGAGTTGCGATTCAGATTACAAAGACAGTTGTCAGTACAACGAGTATCTACAGTGCATTATGTCCAACACCTCTGGCACGTATGAGTGTCAATGCCCAGATGTGGAAAATAAATATTGGGACAATTCCGTACATACGTGCAAGACAAGTAAATATATTATCAAAGATAGTGTAGTTGCTTTTGTATATTTTTATACGAGGAAATAATTGCTTATAATAACCAACAGCGAAATGAATCAAACATTGATATATATATATATCGTTATAATAATAGCCTTTGTAAGGTTTTGAAAATGTAAGCTTTGACTATATAACATGGGGATATAGTATGGCATTTCTGTAGATCGAACAAAAATTGTACGATGCATATGGTTTGATTTATCCGTAAGTAACAATGCTTGCTAAAAAATAATTTCATTTTTTTTATGTATTTTGTTTCGTGAATTCGCTTCTTCTTGTGTTTTTAAGAAAAAATGATTAACATTAATTGTCATAAAAATACATACATTTCATGATAGTTTGTTTTCAATAGAATGATATAACTTCTTCATATATTCGATACGCTGGACAGGGAAATCTCATCTACTATCGCTCCCCAGCGCATTTTGCTGGTATCTTTTCGAGACATTCTATACAAATCGGTGTTAGATATTATGTGATGCCAATTTTTTTTTCTAATGTATCAACGAAAAGGGAGATAAGTTAGTCGCAATAAATCATTTGGTGAAAAATGAAACTAATTTTAAGCAAGTTTTTTATTTCCGTACTATCTTAGGAAAAGAGTATGGCGACAAATGTGATGCAGAACTTCATGACAGCTGTAAACATTCTTCAGAGTTACAATGTTTGTTAGATATAAGCAATGGCTCGTTTTCGTGTCAGTGTATGGATGAGTCAGCTTTATACTGGGACATTGATACTGCTAGCTGTCGTGAGCGTAAGTAGCAAAAATGTCTATATTTATGAAATTGTTTCAGGAATCATTTTTTTTATAATGAAAAAAACTGTTACCCTGGTCATTGTTTAATTCATACTAAAGTTAAATTCTAAATGTCATGAAATTTATAAGAATATTACTCATAAAATGACAATTTTCTATGGTAATCTTCAGTAGAAATGACAGAACAAAGGACATCATTGTTAAAGCTAAGATTTGTGTTACGTTTCTTCTTACAACAAATTTGATGATTAAGGACCCGGATACGGTACCTCATGTGATGTCAGATATATTGAGAGCTGTCAATTCCAACCTCAACTAAAATGTGTTTGGGATGAAGGCCAAAATGTGTCTACCTGTCAGTGCAATGATGAGTCAACGACTTTCTGGAGTCAGGAAAATTCGACTTGTTTTCAAAGTAGGTTTGTCACAAAAGGGAAAATAACAGCTGTTCATACCACTAGTTAGTTAATTGTAGCTTATAACCGTATTCTGCTGACAATATAGTAATGTACATTATTTGTTATGCTTATTTCCTGATATCTGATTGAGGCTTTGGTCGGTTAACTGAGAGCCTACATGATCTGTCTCCTCACGTAAATGCGATGTTAACATTTTATAAAGTATCAACTAGATTTTCATACTTAAACTGTATTATATCAACGTTGCAGGACCTGTGTATGGCGGAAAATGCAGGCCTAATTTCAGAGAAAGCTGTATTCACAAAGAATATCTTGCCTGTATATTCGATGAATCAGGACAAAGCACTTGTTTGTGTAAAGATGAGAATTCCACGTATTGGGATACTGTTGAATCAATTTGTAAACTCCGTAAGTCATTCATACAAAGCTAAAATCTTATTTGATATCGTGTCCCATCATTTTGTATCACCCGATACCCTGTGCATCTTCACTAGAAAGATAAACATATCTGTATTTATTATTACAGTGAATAACTCTCAATCTGATCAAATTGTATTGATATATTTACAATCCGCAAGCCTTTCTTTATTAGATACTTTAGAAAAAATGACATTTTGGTGTATTATACGACATGTATGAAGACTATTTTTTATGTATCGAGGGACTTGAATATTTTTATTCTTTCTGATGTACTGTAGGACTTGAATATGTTGATTATGATATGTTGAAAGACCTAATCATGGGAATTCTTTTTAACGTATGCAAAGACGGGATGTTTTGTATGTATTGTAGGACTTGAGTATAATTCTTTCTGATGTATTATAGGAAATGAATATGGGGACTCTTTTTGATTTGGTGAAGGACCTGAGTATAGTGATTCTTTTGATATATTGTAGGACCTGAATATGGGGACTCTTGTGACGCCGATTTCATCGATAGTTGCAAATACCAAGACGAGCTTCAGTGTCTGCCTTCCGGTGTAGCTGGTAACAACTTCACATGCCGTTGTCCAGACGAAGAAAACATGTTTTGGGATTTCAATTCAAACTCTTGTGAATCAAGTAAGAAACTATTAAGATTTCCCTGATGAAGGTGAAAATTGTTATCTTGAAAAAAATAATCCACTGGACATATCACAAGTCATTTTTTGTGAAATTAAAGATTAGACCGGTTTATGATAAAATCATTGTCTCTCTGTTCAGGACAAGACTATGGCTCGACCTGTCTTCCTGGCGTTCAAGGTAGTTGTCACTATGAAGATCACCTCAAGTGTTTAGAAAAAGATGGGAAGTATACGTGTCGTTGTGAACGCGAGGACGAAATATTCTGGGACCCCTATATGAAGTCTTGTGAATCAAGTAAGTCTAGTTTATGATTATCTAACTAGGGAACATTTTTCGTAATGTTCATTTGAACTAATTGATAATCTGATGAATATTTTCCATGTTGTTTTCATTTCCTAATATTCAAATATATCGTCAAACATAAAGTCAACCATGTCATCCAGTATACCATGCCGTCTTTGGTTGGAAGCAGCTTTTAATCTTTGATTATGTCATCACTCGTAAAAGCAGATGATGTGTAACATTGTATTTGGTATTTGTAACAGGACCAGAGTATGGACAACCATGTCAGTCAGAATTTCCGTCTAGTTGCAAGCATAATACAGATATCCGATGCTTGAAACTCGGTGGAAGAGGCAACTCCACATGCCAATGTATAAACGAGGATAAGACCTTCTGGAAACCTGATGAACATAAATGTTTTTCGAGTAAGTCATTATTTCACAGTACCTGACGATACTGAAATAAGATGGCAGTATACTGCTCATAAAAGTGATTGTTCCCTGGTGTTTCTGTTTTAGAAGTTTCATGCAAAAGTACATGCTTTGAATTACTTTTTGTATTACTTTAACAGTTGTATCTGTAAAACAATTATTGCATCAGGTAATCAAAGTACAGACACACAAAATGTATTACCTCTCTAATCAGTCAAAATCCAGTCAATTCTATTTGAGAGCATAATCGCATCAAATTAACGTTGTAATTATTCAGGGCCAGAGTATGGGGGACTATGCTATCACAATGGAAGTTGTATGTATAACACATATCTGGAATGTGTTCGATCTGACGTATCGGGGGAACACACATGTCTATGTATGGACGAATCGGTACAGTACTGGGATCAGACGGTATCTACATGCAAGTCAAGTAAGTGTCTGATTGACACCTCATGGATCAGTGTCATATCTCGTGATTAAGATCGTCGCTAATTAGGTTTTCATCACTATATTGGTGACGTACATCTTAAATTGATAACAGGAAAATCATTAGCATCAATCAAAAACTGTAATTATTTTAGTTAAAACTTCCGTATTTAAATGTTAATATTTCAATCTTATGTATTGTTTGATATTATTTACGTATTTTTTTCTTATCACTTATTACATATAGAAATGAAAGAAAGTAATCGTATTTCCCTTGATTGGTAATAATCAATAAAATTATGATCTTTAGAAAATTGAGTTTTAAACGCATAAACATATAATCTCAGATTGAAATGAAATGAAGTTAATGTAATTATCATTCAATGATTAAGATTGTAATTAATCCCCAACATAGGCGACAATGATTGTCATTAATTACTTACTCCTAATGATGATACCACGCCTCAGGATATTGATGAGTAAACAATCACGTGTATTGTTCTGAAAACAACAACACACCTTAATTTTCCAGATTAATTACGTTTGATTGAAATGGATTCTGTTTGTTTAAGGACCTGAATACGGAAATGAATGTGACGCTGAGAAACGAAACAGCTGTAAATACGAAGCAGAATTACAGTGTATAACGACACGCAATGATACAACACGTTCTGTTTGTCAGTGTCCAGATGAACTAGCGACATACTGGGATTCAATAGTCAAGAAATGCACTGCACGTATGTATATCCATAGTTATTGTAATGAGAATCAGTCTAGTTTATATGCAAATATCTAGATAAGAAAAACTTCTAAGGGCCATAAAGATACCATTAGATATTCATCATTTTTTTATTTTGTGTTTTGGGATTTTTGTCGGTTTTTTTGTTTTTGTTTTTTTCTCACAAAACATTTTTTCATGAAAAGAGTAACTTTAAACCAGTATACCTTTTATTTCAGAAAAATAAATGTTCCGTTATTAATTTCATTTGCTTATTGCTGCAGTAGTGTACGTAATAACTATTACATTATGCAAAACGATTGAATATGGATTAAGGAAAATATTTATCTTTAATGGAAAAATTACCTACCTATATCTTAACATGAAACTGGCTGTAAATGCTATAATGTAATTCATTGAGAGAGGTATAAATTGTTTGTTTATTTGTTGAAACATCCGATTATGTCATTTGCAAAAAAATATGCTTAACCTACAATCAATTTACCAAAGCTTCAAAAATGAAATAATATAAATGCGGAAAAAAGATATACATACGATTAGTAGTAGTTAAGCAGCAAATGTTCCTTTTATACATGAATGTATTGTTGAAATAAATCCGGCTCTTATTTGGGGAACATGACATGATTAAGAGATTTACATGGCGAATGAAGCAGTCGATGTTTAACACAAACAGACTCCATGTATATTTAGGAAGCAATCTTCACATTCTTTTGTGTCTTCTTAGCTTAGCGATTCGGGGCTGGAATTTTGTGTTTTATATGACTTTATTTATGACATGATTATACATTTAGGTCTCACATATGGTGGTTTGTGTGACCCAAACTTCCCAGAAAGCTGTAAATATGACAAGGAACTTTTGTGCCTGCAATCTGATACGGGAAACTACACGTGCCGATGTGAACATGAGAACGCAACATACTGGGACCCGGATGAAAAAACGTGTAGTGCAAGTGAGTGAGATCATTTTTTGTTGAATCGAAGCTTTAAACAAATGAAATGATTGGTAATATTTTTGTTGTTGTGGTAAATAAGGTGATACTAATTGTTTCGATGATTTCGATATTCCATATGGGACAAAAACAATAAAATACCACCATGCGGACAAAATCATAAATCAAACGCAAACTCAATACAACTAGAGAAAATATGAACAAAAGAACGACTTTCACGTGGACTACTGAAAAAAGTGCAAGGTGAAGAAGACGAGGTGTTCCGGGAGAGTAAGCGTCTTCTACGTTCTTCAAAACTGAGTTGTACCTTGCCTGTAATTAAATATTTGTTTTATATGATATTAAATGTTTATCAATTAAAATCCACTTCACAATCTGTATTTATCAATATTTCTTTTTTTCTTCAGGGCCATTATACGGGGACCCATGTGACGTTAGGTTGGCAGATAGCTGTATACACAATACAAATTTAATATGCCTATTTTCCAATTCCACTGAAAACAGTACTTGTCAATGTGAAAATGAAAGTTCCACTTTCTGGCATCCGGTGGATACCGTGTGTAAACCACGTAAGATGCCTTTACTCTCTGTTACTGTTTCAATGTCATTGACAGCTATACGTTCGTATTTACATCGTCTCTATATATTAGTTGATAGATCCAGTATTACAAATTTCCTTGGAGCGGTTCTTAAGTACACGCAGTTGAACTACCATTCCCCTACTTATCAACAGACACAGTTCAGATCTTTTTACATCCTCGTACATCTAATTAACCTTTACATTTACCTTTCATATTGATTATACATGTATATTCAGACCCGACATGTTTAATTGCTTGCATTAAATCAGTATATCACTGCGACTTGAAGTTAATGGTCACACTTGCACTGATGTCTGACTGTAACACAAACGTGAAAAATGTTATCATTGCTTTGACCTGTAGACTCTTTATATGTCAGACACGGTAATTGATCACATTAAAAGGTGTCCGACAAGCCAGTTTTCCATCAACCAGTTAGACACTCTTTAACATCAGAATCGTTCGCGTTTTTGAAACATCCTGCATTAATGTTATGTAGCTGAATTTATTTAACAACTACGGGAATAACTGTTACTTATAGGATATAGATTGAAGGATTGTATTAGGAATTGGGAATTATTGCGAAGAGTTGTAGATTTAGATTAACAACAACGATACAATCATGATTTACAATTAAATCATTAATGTCTTAAAATTGGTACCAGCGCTGTATCATCCAGTCCATTGTATTGATACTAATAGACACCTGGATTTGTATGTATCTTTTATCAATGTATTTTGATAGGCATATACTGAGCAGAATTGAATACAATTCGTGATTATTTTTTCTGTTCCATTTATAAATGTAGCTATAAATGATAGATTCTTAATATCATGTTGTTGTTCCAGGACCGGAATATGGAGAAGACTGTGACTCAACATACCCAGGTAGCTGTAGCCACAAGTCACAATTACTGTGCTTGCCAACTGGAGGAAATGGGTCTTATACCTGTCAGTGTAATGATGAAAAGGAGTTATATTGGGATGTGTCAACCTCAACATGTAAACAAAGTAAGCATTTTTGCAATATATATATATATATATAACTAGTTTGTTTTATATGAAGATGAGCTTTGCTGTTGTATATGTTCATTAAATGTTGAAAGGTGAGAATGCATTAGACGCGCATGAACATGATATTACCTATTATTTCGAAATTTCCAACAGGACCACAATATGGAGATGCATGTGACGTCAGATTTAAGGATAGCTGCATGTTTAATGAAGAGTTATTGTGCCGTACTGGAGCGAATAATACGTCTACCTGCGTGTGCCCAAATGAGACACAGTCGTTCTGGAACAATGAAGAATCAAAGTGTAAAAACAGTATGTCAACTTTTTATTTTGTCTGCAAATCAGGTATATTTAAGGTTAATAAATCATAAATAATGTGATTTTGTATTATTAAAGTACTAATAAATGCCGTGATTCCCTAAATATAAAGCATATCAGTTTATGTACAAAGCTGTGAAATGTGTGTCATTCCTATTATTTGTATATAAAAAATGAACACACAAGAAATTATATGAAATTTAAAATTTAATTTATTTCTGATAAAAATAATGAGAAAACATCTGAAATACGAAACAATAATCAGAACTACAAACACAAGAAAGGGGAGGAGTTTTGTTTCCAAACCCTAAATACCACAAATTCGGTGAAAGAAGTTAACCATAATAAGTTAGATATGTTTCTTTTCCGGAATCATTGCTCCAGTTAAGTCAGAGTTTATTTTTTGTATTATAGGACCAACTTATGGAGGGGAATGTGACGCTAACTTTCCTGATAGTTGTTCCTATAACGAGCAACTCACGTGTCTTCAGTCAGAGAATTCTAGCTTAACATTATGTCAGTGTAGGGATGAAAACTCTACTTACTGGGATGAATCAGTCAGCGAATGTATACAAAGTAAGTGTTGTTATCGATTTTTTACTATATATCATCGATTTGGGTAAATTTAACCGAATGTTGTCTTCCTAAAATGTCTTAACGTGCACAGCGTGTGTAGTATGGGTGATATTTAAACTGTAACAGATATCAGAAAATCAGTTTCATAAAACATAATCAGATGCTACTTGTAACATGGCAGATATCGACAATTTAGACACACATTATGAGTATTTAGGTAGTTTAAAACATAATTTTGAAAATAAGAAACATTCGTTTTTACTTTATGGAATTCAATAATATCTTAAAGGGCCGGAATATGGCGGCGTCTGTAATCCGCAACTTCCAGAAAGTTGTATCTACAAATCACAGCTTAAGTGTATGACAACCAACACAACAAACACGTCAATTTGTCAGTGTGCAGACGAATTTATAACCTATTGGGACCCAATTGCTGTTGAATGTATCAAAAGTAAGTCACAATTCCACAGGGGAACATCGGAGGTGTTGTAATTCGTTATCTTGTTTGAAAATTAAGAAGAAATCTGAGTTCAGTTTTTTGTAAAATAAATAATTTTATTTAACCGTAACGTTCATTTTTCTGAATACACTATAAATTCTATACTATAAAGTATGGTCCGGTATAAATTAACCAGATAATAATTGGTTAATTTGGAATACCAAATAGAAAACTTCACTGATACTGTAATACACAATACTAATGTTGCACATTTATACATATGAAAACTCCGCAGATCTGTAATGCATTCGTTTGCTTTTGTATGATTTAGGACCAGAATATGGTGAGCCTTGTGTCGGAAAATACCCTGACAGCTGTCAGTTTAATTCACAACAGCAATGTTTACCGTCTGGTCCGCATGGCAACCACACGTGCAAATGCGCGGACGAAATAGCAACTTATTGGGATAATACAAGTTCGTTTTGCAAGAAACGTATGTATATATTGAGGAATTATGTCACTCCTGAAAGTGAATACAATGGTTATTGGTTGCTATTCAAAATATGACATTACGTTTACAATTTGAAACAAAACAAACCAAAACAAAAATAAATTGTCTTTATTTTCTTGATTCTTTAAAAAGAAGAAATGCATAAATCCGAGAGTGCGCGCGAATCATCAATCAATGAAATTATGCTGAAGTATTGTTTGAAAAATCCATGATTTTTTTTTTTTTTTTTTTTTGCGTTATGAAAATTTAGCTTTTATAATTCGGGTACAATAAATTTTATTACTGGTCTGAAAGCTGACGGAATTTGTATAATGTTTGAAATGCTATGGAATGACAAAATATTTAGGAATAAAAGCTATTAGATAATAAGAAATAGTCGTTTAAATTAATGGTATGCTTTATCTTTTATTGCAAAAAAAACACGAAATCGATTAAGGATGTTTTCGCAACCTTGAGAATAACAACATATAAAGGTAATTCCTGGTGATTATATCTTAGGTTGTCGTTTGATAATATATAAAGCAAGTATTTCGAACATTTACATGACTAAACCTACCGTAACAATTACGTGGTCCAAAATGAATAATCTCGGCCATACTATCAAATAAAAGTTATTAGAGCGTCTTTTTGCTTATACATATATAAATGTATTCACACCAAACAGGTCCTTCCTATGGAGCGAACTGTGACCCCCTTTTCGCTGGAAGTTGTGCACATAACTCAGACCTGTCCTGTGTAACATCATTAGAAAAGGGAAATAATTCAGTATGTCAGTGTTTTAATGAGACAGCAACATATTGGGATTCCAAACAAACCAAATGTATAGAACGTAAGTATTCTCATGTTTTATATTGTTTCAGTCCGTTTAAGACGATTTTCAACAAACAAATAACAATTATTTGTAATGTAAAATAATTAAGTCATTATTACTAAATGAACAGGTAAATACCATATTCAAATAAAAATTTAGTTGCATATCAAATTTCATCTCTTCAGGGCCGAAGTATGGATCCAAGTGTGATACTGAATTTCCGGGAAGCTGCATATATAAGACTGTCCTCACATGTGTATTGAACGATTCTGGGAACTCAACATGCCAGTGTGAAAATGAGGAAGCTACATACTGGGACTTTATCGACTTTGACTGTATACCAAGTAGGTATCTAGATTATACAATGTACACTATGCACCTAATATCTGATATATTTTCTATCAATAAAATGACAATTATATAGATTGTTATTCATTTGTGCACGTTCTTGACATATTTGCTGTTACATGGCGTCTCATATTAGCATTCTGAGTAATTTCTGTTATCGTTTGTATCAGTGTGTATCCAGAGATGTCTCTTTCTTTTAAATGTCTTTCACATTTGTATGGGTTTATTTATTGTAATATTGCAGTTACACATATTATTTTCGTGTGCCTGTTTTATTTTTAATGGTGTCTCAAGGAATATATCTACTTGTTAGTGGCTTGTAACATTTGATTGCTTTATCTCCGGAAATACATTTTTGTGTGTGTCCTGATCTAGTTGTTATGGTATATCATGATAATGTCACTTTTGTGTATTCTGTAATATTGTTTACGGCGTAACATATCTATTTTCGTGTGTCAGGACATATTCTACTCTCGATGATTCAGCTTCATTGCTTGTTTTCATTGTCCCCTTGATATTTTGGGTTATCAATTGAATGCTGCCCTCATCTTAGTTTGAATTTTGTGTTCAGTGTTGATAAATGACAATCAGCATTAGATAGCCACCACCATATAAACGTGCAAGAAACATATCTAAAGAAAATAACATTCAGTAACATCACTTTGATACATTTTGTTTTTGCTCTTTTCTTGACTCCTATTCGTCCTGCATGGTTATACACACGAAGACTATGGTGAAAGTTCAGATAATGTTAATCATAATGTTAATTTTAATTCAGCAACTTTGGTATCAGTCAAACAATTAAAATGACATTTTCGGAATGATTGTTTTAGGACCCAAATATGGTGAAACCTGTGACAAAGAACACGTCGATAGCTGTCAATTCAACTATGACTTAAAGTGTTTACCAACAGAATCACTAGGAAACTTTACTTGTAGATGTCCAGACACAGATCTCATGTACTGGGATAATGAAAATCAACAATGTAAACCACGTAAGATATACCTCAGATATATAAAACAGAAAAAGGACGATTGTATAAAATACACGTGAATAGCATCAATTGATACATAAATAGACATGATTCCAAACGTGGCATGCAGATTAAGACAAATGTCATGATCTTTGATCCAACAGCAGCATCGAAAATTAACAAAAGACACACAAATTTGATACAAATTATACATTTAGCTATGTTACTATGAAATCCTTTGTATAAACATTATTTATAAAAAAAAAATTACGACAGTTTCATGTTGAGCATACTTATTCATAAGTTATGAAATAAAATATTCAACAATTTTAATTGTTTTCTTTATATTCACATATAACGGTTAACAATTTATTTTTTTATTTCACCGATGCATCAACCGTATATCTAATATAGGTTGTGACCTAGAGTAAACTGAGTTCGTTTCAATGTTGTGATGTTGATTTTTATCTTACCAGTCGATACTTACATTTTTCGTTGAATATTGACAGGACCTTCTTACGGAGCTGAATGCAACTTGGATTTCCCAGATAGCTGCAGACATGGAAACCAGTTAAGATGTGTCCTATTTCAAAACAAATCAATTTGCCAATGTCAGAATGAAATCGAGACATTTTGGAATCCCGTTACAACAACGTGTGATCAAAGTATGGCTTATATTCAATGTTAAGCATATTATATATTATAATATACATTTTGATCTTGTTTACTCAAGTCGATATTGATTACAACGACTAAATCTTCACTTTTTACAGTTATTGCACATCAGAAAGTACTTCTTAAGGTATATCTGTATTATAGATAACATTCGCATAGAAATATTAACAATTTTGTTTTAAAGAGTCAATCTCTTTACGAAATGATGAACAGCTTCGCCTTCTTCAGTTCAGATAAGACACACCAAGACAATTTATAATTTATAATGTTCTTTTAAGGGCCTGGTTATGGACAAAACTGTCTGTCAGATTACCATGAGAGCTGTCATTATCAGGAACAGCTCAAATGTTTGCCAACCGGGCCTTTAGGAAATCATACTTGCCAATGTGGGAATGAAAATTCTACTTATTGGGATAGTGTGATCACGGAATGCAAAGACAGTAAGTGATGCGACTGCTATGATACATATGAACCGTATGAAAACTGAAAACTAACAGTGATCGGCAATCACAGATGCTTTAAGCTTTACTTAATAACTAAATCACATGTTCTGATCATGTCAACTTGTAAACTTAGCTTGTTATCTTAACATGTTCTGATCTTGTCAACTAAATCTGTCATCTTAACTTGTCATAAACTTGTAAACGAAACGTGTCGCTTTAACCGTTCCTGAACTTGTCAGCTTAACGTGTTACCTTAACATTTCCTGAACTTGACAACTAATTCAATAACACTGCCAATTGTATTAAACAATCATGTCTATGTTAACATCATTATTTATTGTAAAATGTTAACATCATTATCTTATTGTAAATATGTTTACATCATTAGTTTATTGTTAATATGTTAACATCATTATTTATTGTAAAATGTTAACATCATCAGTTTATTGTTAATATGCTATGTATCTATGTTATGTGTCAGCGTGTAAGGTAACAGTGCATGTAGCTTAATGTTGCTATGATAGTTTTACACCTGTTCTAATATCGTTCTACATCTTTGTATGATAACTAAACAGTGTAATTGAATTTACATTTCATTACAAAACAACAACCCAAGAATGCTGTTATTGGAATAAAACAAAGTGTTTTCTTTATCGATTTGAATACTTGCATGTAATGAATTGAGTTCAAGTTCAAGGCGGAATTTACAATTAATGCCATATTGACGTTTCCATAACAAATTACACGTAGATAAGGTTAATTCATCATCTGAAAAACACTGTGATAAAATCAAACAAAAAACAAATTAGCAGCATTTTTGTTGTTTTCAACTGAATGCTAGAGAGCGTGAAATCCTGTTACTTTAAATAACACGTTCATAAATGTGTAATCTTGTGCAAAATGTAGCTTGCTTTCATACTTAAACAATGTAACATATACTGACATTGACAAACAATATTGCATGTTTTCCGCACTGTTCTATAATAGCTTACACCCCTAAATGTTATCTTACACGCTGAAATTAATGAAAACAAGAACACTGTTAGTGTTGCTATCAAGTTATTGTACATTCATGTCTTTCTTTACAGGGCGGAACCGGATACTTAAATATATGTTAACCATAACACCAGACGATCTGACATGAAGGACGACTGAGATAATTATTTGTCACGTGATATTGCTCATGCGCACCAAATAATGCATGCATATATGTTAACCTCACACAATTAAAATGTAATCTTGCACAATTTTTTTTTTTTTGAATATCTATAGCAACAAGAAACACTTAGATTAGTGACATGTATCTGCTTAATTTCAGGACCGGAATACGGTGAGACCTGTGATAGAAACATTCCGGATAGTTGTAACCATAATTCTTATTTAAAGTGCATATTGTCGGTTGAAACAAATACATCAACATGCCAATGTGCGGACGAAAGCGAATCCTTCTGGCATGGCACCACAAAAGAATGTAAACAAAGTAAGTATTATCTTATTTGGTTTAGATAAAAGCCAGATCTAAGATATGTTAATGTCAGATTTTTACATGGATGAGAAGATGTTTAAACCCATTAATTCAATAAATTTCGTGGTATATATAGGCTCTTACATGAATCTCCAATTTTATATATGTTTTATAATGCAAATCATATAATAATTCATTTTAACGAGTTTCAAGATGTATTTTGCCGCGTAAATTTACAGTCGTCCTCTCGACATGTTATCTATGCTCCCAATTATGACATCTCCATTCGCGAGTATGTGTCGTGATTTCATTATCTTACCTTTACGCTTAAATAGGCTATATATCAACAGGTGCTACACAAACATTAAATGAGTATATTGAAGGATAAAAACGTCAGTATTGTGATAAACAGGACTGAGTCAAAATAACGTCAAGGTTATGGTTATGACAACTACTCAAATGAATGAAGACTTAAAAGAAAGGCGCACAAGTGTAAACGCGGCGGTTTTACTTAATCGTTCCTATAATACGTTACAGGGATGCTAGGAAAAGAATGAGGCCCTCGATGGAAATCTTCATCAGCTTAATATATAAAACACAGAAGTGGGACTGATTACAATTGATCAATTTCAACTAGTTCAATTACTAGGGACAGTATATTAGATATTGACATATATAAGTGTATATCTTTTTAATAAAGTCTGTTTTACTAATTCATTGGTACATTAATAACTTAATTGGCAAGAATATACCACGTTGAGTGATACAAAATATATTAATCAGAAATGATAAAAGTTATACACACTTAAGAGAGTTTCTGGAGAATGTTTTATAATAACCGTGAACAAAATGATCAATTAAGCGCGCCCAGTAAAGTAATAATTCATAACTAAAGTAATAAGAAATTTATAGCAATTTCAAATTTTAATAAAAAAAAAAAAGATGGAAAGCGATCTACCTGCCTGACATGTGATATAACATACACAAAAGGTAAAGTGATCAATCATTTTGTGAGTTTGTATGCATATTAATAAAATGAGTAGGTGTATTTTGTCCTGAAGCAGGCCATTACAGACAATGTATACGACATAATTGTTATTAATGATATGTTTATATAGCTTTTCTTAACTTAATATTCGAGATAGTATGCAAAAATATGCGGACAATGCAAATGAATTATTATAAAATAGGTTTCCCTTCAAGATAATAATACATTTCTTAATTTAATTTCAATTTTCATTACTCAACTAAGATAAGCATTAAGATTTTCATCTGTGCATGAGAAGTTCAACAAGTTTTCATTTGAGATTCACATTAAACAGCAAAAACCAAAATTAAACTTATCAATCTCCTCCATCAGTTTGTCAAAATAGATCTAATGTTGAATTGATCAATCAAGTGTTTTTCTATCGAGACTTGATTTATGTGGAAGTAAATATTTCTGTTAAGTTATAAATATACATACACTTTAGTTGCGGGGAAATAACGCAAATTTTTCATCTAACAATTTTTGGAACTTTCTTAACTGTTATTTTCGTTTATGAAGTGATGTGTTTTATTATTTGTCTATTTATTGACAGGTTTTTTGCTTGTCAAAATATTGAACTCCTTTGATAAAATAAATATGAAATGGACTGGATTATAATATTTTATGAAACTCCAAACTTTTCGAGTTAAGAGAAAACTACATTTGTTTTCCATTTACGACAGTCGATTTTCTTACCGAACGGGACAGAGGCATTATCTAGTTTGGTGTTATAACACGGGTACCCTTCGTTATCTATGGCCTATATGTATTATAGTTCAAATGGGCAAGCTACTTAGCTTTATCTCCCCGTTTCACTTTATACCCCTCCCTTACCTACGCAATTTGTCGTATTTTATTGTTGTATATTGATCTTCGGGATCTTCTGTTTTTTCTCATTATTAGGACCTATATACGGTGGAGCTTGTGAGATCAATTTTCCAAACAGTTGTGAACATAAAGACGAGCTGGAGTGTATATTTTCGACAATTACTAATAAATCTGTCTGCCAGTGTTCCAACGAAAGCCGATCTTTTTGGAACGCAGAATTTTCCAAATGTTTGAAACGTATGTATACTAGATAATGATATATTCATTTTATATATAGTGATCAAGAACGAATATTTTTTACTAAAACAAGTTATCAATGCTTTACACTGACAGTTGTTATATCTAATTATTATTCTGTCGGTATTTTCATCTGTTTTTTTGTTCAATAAACATTTTTAAACCTTACAATGAGATTGAGTGTAACAACTCACTGTATCGTATTATCATTTATATCCTTAACAGGACCAGAGTATGGTGACGCTTGTGACAGTACACACGTCAGTAGTTGTGCATACAACAATGAACTGGCCTGTCTTTATGACAGTGTCACCGATACGCATGTCTGTCAATGTCGGAGTGAAAACATGACCTACTGGGATCCGACAAGCGCCGACTGTAAAACAAGTAACTTGCCTTTCTACATTATTCTAAACGTTTTACATATAATTATTTCCTTTAAAATTCTATTTTGAAATCACCTTTTTTGTCCTATCTAATTATAAGAACATATATACGATGGAGCTTATGATATTGATTTTCGGCTTGTGAGCATGACGACGAGCGAGCTAGAATGTAAAAAACATTTAAACATTTTACTCAAAGATTATACACTATTGTAAAATTACGTTTATTTTTAATTCTATCTTGAAATTAACGGTCGGTAGTAGTAGTGGGGGAGAATTGCTCTTTATTTGTAAGACGGAGCATGCATTTATTTATTAATTTATTTTTGTATGGAAACATACTATAGTCCCATAGAAGTTTTCCTTGTCAGTAACGGTTATCTCTCAAGCTGGCAATAAATTATTAAAAATATTGAATTATTTAATTCGTATTCTTTGAAATCGTTCATGAAAACAATAATTTATTTATGACAATATTAAAATCATTTACGGCTATTGCTCCAGTAAGAAATATATGAATGACAATGATAAACTTTTTTCTATAGAATATTGTTAAAGTAACAATGAATTATTTGGTTTAGTCATTCTAAAAAAGTTATTATGCCGATTACGTTTTCATATTCATATAGGCATACGAATGTACATTCTAAGGTAATTATTAAGAACACTTTCTGAGACTTTTTAAATTAGGTTTTTGATACGTTATTGTCTATCAACATCAATACAATCCATATAGTGTGTACAATGCACGGAATGATGAAATGCTCTTGTTTTATTTCTGAATATCACAGGACCAGAATTTGAAGGGCAGTGTGACCTTGGTTTTCCAAAAAGCTGTAAGCACAATGACCACTTAAAATGTTTACTGTCGGAAGTAACAGGCAAACCCACTTGCCGTTGTGAAGATGTCGACCTTTTATACTGGGATCCAAAATTGCACATATGTGAAACAAGTAAGCAGAACAATTACCTGTAAATTTAAGTCGTATCAATAAATTCTTAAAAATTAATTCTAATCACACCCATCCGCATCCCGTTTTTTATGTTATGAAATAAATCAGGGCAGATGTATCTCTTTAGGTATTTAGCATTTGTTCTGACGATAAACATAAAAAGATTAAGGATATCGTTATCAATTTATTTTGTATGGGGATCATCATCCTCACTCGACCTCCCTATTTATGTTTAGATTTGTAGTACATACTATTTTTATACAAATAGGACCTGAATATGGTGAAAACTGTTCAAAAGAACTTGAATCAAGTTGTATGTACAATGACCAACTTCGGTGTGTGCTTAACGGAATATCATCAGACTACGTTTGTCAGTGTGATGACGAAAGCAACAAGTATTGGGACAAAGTCGATCTAAACTGCAACAAGAGTAAGTTGAATATTACATCATTATGAATGGTTAATCTGTATGGTATTCAATATTCAGGTCACATTAACTGCAGGTGCATGTCCTCTTTTGCATCTAAGCTGATTGTTCTTAAGAGTTCACTTTTCTTTTGTGGCCACTGTCATGCTCTAATAACATCTTCATATGATCTATTTAGTCAAACGCAAACCCATACCCCTTTGACTTAAACACATTGCACTTGTGCTGAGCTTTATTGGAATATTGTTGATGATCATAATAAGTCATCACTGTGAGATAACAGGAGATAATTTGAAATCTTTATTGTATACAATGTGAGATCGTGTATTTTCGTATTTGTTTCTTAATCATTTAAGTATAATAGAAACTATCGTATTTTAACTTTGATGTCTATGAAGAATGCTAAGAGTTGATTTAATGGGAAATACGACATAAGGGAAACAACTCATATTGAAGAAACTTATTTCATTTTATTTTTTTCAGGAAGTAAACAAGTATATGAACATATATATCAAACGGAATTTCGTTATGTGATATTGCAACATTTTTGTTCATTCAATGCAATAATATAACTTTTCCCACACCATACAGGACCAGGCAACGACGATATCTGTGATGCTAATTTTCCGTTGAGTTGTTTACATAATGATCATCTGAAGTGTTTATTGGATGTCGCTACGAACACTTCTTTCTGTCGCTGTAAAAATGGAGAAGATTTTTATTGGGACAGCAACACAAACACGTGTAAACTCAGTAAGACATCAAACATAGTTTATTTTCTCTTTTCTTTCTGGGTAAATATTTTGTTATAATGTAGTCTAATTATCAAATGTTGATTACATAAGGAATTTCTAGTTAAGCATTGATAAAAAACATTTTCTTAATAAACTTATGTTCAAATAAATAAAATTATATCGTATCTTTACTCATGCTGAATTGACTGACATTGTGTAAATTGAAACTGATAAGTATTGACCTAAAGATCAATTTAACTTAGTTATTAAAAGAGACTCGAATAATTTACTGTAGGGTCGGGATACAACGAAATCTGCGATCCAAATATGCAAAACAACTGCAAAGGATACACGGGTATGGAGTGTCTTCCTTCGACGATGCCAGGCAATTTCTCCTGCATTTGTAAACATGAATCAACAATGTTCTGGGACTCAGCTAACTTAGAATGCAAAAAAAGTAAGTGTGTGGTAATGGATATTAAATACTTCCTATTTTACAGCATTTTGCAAAACATCTCACGAAAAACATTTGTGACAACTTGATTAAATATATATTGTGTTTGTCGTTTGATAACATAAGTAAAGCTTGTGGTTATAACATCAATTACATTAGGGTTATGCTAACATTAGTAACGCTCGTGGTTATAACATCATTTCTGTTAGGGTTATGATAAAATTGGTAACGCTCACGGTTATAACATCATTTATATTAGGGTTATGATAACATGAGCAACGCTAGTGGCCATCACACCGTTTATATTGGGGTTGTGATAACATTTCGAAAATTAAATTACCTTTCACATCAAAAGTTAAAATAGTGAAATCATGTTTCATGCTTTGCAAGTGAAAGCAAAATCCGATTTTACATTAAGCTTTAAAAGTCTATTATATATTAAGCTTAAGAAGGGTTTGAAAAGGAACAAGTTTTATTTGCTTCCAGAAATATTAAGTTTCAAATATTGCTTAATATATCACTTCTTTTTGACATTTTTCAGGGCCTGGCTTCGAATCTGAATGCCTGTTAGAATTTCCTGACAGTTGTTTGAGTAGTGAACATCTGAAGTGTCTAAAGGATAGTGTCACTGGAGAACCTGTATGTAGATGTACAGATCAGCAGTCCCTATTCTGGGACGGAGCTGTGAATCAATGTAAAACAAGTAAGTCAATTTGATGATGCTTATTACATATGCATAAATTAGATATTTCACAAATTTATTTGTTTTTGAATTACCAGCTTGCCAATGGAACAAACACGTGATACATTGATACTAAAGAACAAATATTTATTATAACCAGGTTAAAAGACCAATGTTGTTGGTATGAAATGCATTATATACTTTCACGAAATCTTTTAATTAATTGGAATTTTGATTCTCACATAATTGAGTCACATTTAATGTCAACAATTTCCTCTCATAGTTCTTATTTGTATTTAAGTTTCTGTGCACATTGTCAAATCTGTAATATATAATGCTTAACTTTTTTCAACGCATTTTCTGAGCTTAGACGTGTCATTTTGTGTCTTTCGGTTTTCACGAAACATAAGTACTATTTTTCTAAAATACAAATATGTATAGGGCCAGATCATGACGGTGTCTGCCAGGCCGAGTTGCCAGACAGTTGTAAACACAATGAACACCTAAAATGTATAGACGATGGTGATGGCAAAAATGGCACATGCCGCTGTCAGAACGAGAGTCAGCTTTACTGGGATTCATCCACCTTCCAATGCAGACCAAGTGAGTTTGTCAGTCACATCTGTTTCTGTGTAATCGACATCAATAAAACTATAGTGAAACTATTCGAACAGTGTAGAAATAATGGCATAGGCCAAATTGTAACACAAGCAAGACTTTCTGTCCAACTGAAAAATAGGTGAAAGGATCAAACGGACAAATTAATAGATATAAAAGCGACACGAAATCATAATCCATTATTGATTTCATAATATTGGTTGTTTCAAGATAATTTCTCCTAATTGTGAAGCATCGATATTTTATGAAATCGCTTCAACGTCCTTCGATCTTAATATCATATGCATGTAAAGTGATAATTGTTTATCGTCGTATCGATTATCGATTTACAATACATGAGTGACAAAGTAGGTTTTATAACCTTTGTATAAGGTACAACCTCACTGCATTGTATATCGTATTAGTGTTTGTTTGTCATTATTCATAAACTTACGTAACACCGTTTATTATCAGGGTCTGGATACGAACAAACATGCAATCCAGATTTACCAAACAGCTGTAAGAGACAGGCGTTGCTGAAATGTCTTCAAGTAGGAACATCAGACGAATTCTCATGTCGATGTGAAGATGAAAATAAACTGTTTTGGGATTCTTACGACGCAATATGCAAAAAACGTAAGGAATGTTGGAAAATTAATGTTCAAATGATAAGTTACAACTTGTTGTATAAATCAGGTTTTAATCAAGAGGTTTTGAAGTTAAATTTATATTATAAGTCTAGATTCTAACATTTGAGAATTTTAATGTGATAGATTAATTTAATGTGAGCTTAAATTCATAAAAGAGAAAATGAATATTTATGTATTTATTTATTTTTTTTTTTTTTTTTTTTGTCCGTGTTGTCTAACATTGCAGCATTTTGTAAATTACTACTAATGCTTGTTCTCAAAAGGACCTAAGTACGGAGCCAGCTGTGATTCTGGTTTCCCTGGAAGTTGTCAGCCAAAGTCAGAACTCTTGTGTGTTCTCGGGACTACTGGTGGTGGACATAAATGTGAATGTGCTGATGAAAGAAACACGTTTTGGGATCCGAATTTGATGCAGTGTAAACAAAGTTAGTACAGGTTATCAAACAAATCGTTTATCTAAAATCAGAATAAAACAATAACATTTAACATCGGCGAATAAAGTGATACATATACTTAAGGCGAATTATATGTGCCGTCATAAAACATTAACGCTTTTTAAATATTCTGTTATATTCCTGGTAACATACTGGCCGCAATAAATCGCTAAACAGACCCTTACTGAAACTCAAGCGGTTCAGATTACAAGAAATCCTAGCATCTTAGCGGAGATATTGAATTAAGACCTCTGTTACATTGGCACAAGTGTACTATAAAAACAAATTATCTTTTTATGTAACATCAAATATTTCACATTTACATTCAGTGAATTACTAGAACTTCATACGTATTTATATTGCAGAATGATAAACTAAAGCAGTACAAACATTAAGTCATTATAGATTTTATTGGATTGGTGATGTATCTGATTGAAATGTCTGGATTCACGATATAACATACCAGATAACACATTATTGTACATACAAGTATAAGAAATTAAAATACTCATATCGTTATGTCTTACAGGACCAGAGTATGGACAGACCTGTGAAGCCAGTCATGCGGAAAGCTGCAAACATAACTCACATTTAATTTGCATAAAGTCTGGGAAAACTGGAAATTACTCCTGTTTATGTAATGATGAAAAAAACCTATTCTGGAATGCAGCAGAATCCGTATGCAAATTACGTATGTATCCATGTCTTCCGGGTTTACGTTTCGTTTAATTGCAGCATTGGTAATGCATTTCACAATAGACAATGGCGTTGCTCCCCAGTAATATCTTATTCAGGCTATAGAAGTACTATAACGGATACATATGTCTTTTTCAGGACCACTATATGGCTCACAATGTCAAGCTGGAATGGTTGAAAGCTGTGTTCATAATGACCAATTAGCGTGTATAAAAACACAAACGGGAAACCACGAGTGTTTATGTAAAGACGAAGGCGCAACCTACTGGGACAATACCATCCGTACATGTCGCCCAAGTAAGCAGGGGAATTTGATGACGCCATAACTTCAGTTTATAATGAAAACTTTTACATAAAGGCGATCTCTAATGTGTTAAACATTGTATTTACACAATGGATGTGGATACTTAACATACTTAAGTATAGCCAGTATATTACGTACAATAAAATATATATAGCTATCACGAAGAGCAGTTTAGTTTCAATACCATTTGTTAACATGAAGGTGTTTTCATATTTTTGTTTCCGTACTTATGTAATACATGTTTGTCATTCTTGATAAAAACTCTCGTTTTAGGACCTCATTATGGAGAAGCATGCAATTCCAATTTACCCGCGAGTTGCGCATTTAATTCGGATCTCGAGTGTATTTTATCTGACACGGGGGATCACATATGCATGTGTGCAGATGAAAATGTCACCTTTTGGGATCCATCCACATCAAAATGCAAACAAAGTAAGTATATCATAGCGTCATGATATAAGTTATATAAGCGATCAATTTCATTAATCTTATGAAAATTATTTTTGAGTTGAAATATTAAGTTATTCATTCTGTAGATTTATAGACATTTGGACACCTTCTCAACTAGTTTTAAATTTTGATAAGAAATGTAATCATAGAAACTCTGTTGCCATGTTCTTGATTGATAGACAAAATTGGGATTCCTTTTTGTAAGTCTATTAAGGATTGTTAGGTTTAAGGCGCGGGATAAGACCTCGTTCCGCATTACAACAGGATGATACCTGAGTGAACAGAACAGATCTTTATTTCTTTTATCACGCCTACACAAGTCACACTAATTTTTTTTGTTAATGAACAAACGAATCCGACAACATTCAAATTATCTGGAATATATCATAAATATATAGAACAACGTAAAAAGACAAAACGTATCTCAGATAACATGCAATTACATGCATGTGTTCTATAAATGAATATGCCTTGTTTTCGTCATTCACAAGTTCAAATGCTGTCGTTGTTTTTTGTTTTTGTTTTGTTTTTTGTTTTTTGGGGTTTTTTTGTTTGTTTGTTTTGTTTTTTGTTGTGTTTTTTTGTATAGCCTTCGTATGGTAAATACAAGAAATCATTATTAATTTGCATATCAATATATCATCGTGACGTCAAATCATATCAAATGTGCTTGGTTCAAAGTATGCTTTACTCCTATTCATCGCATTATGTCTTCTCATTATCAAATTAGAAATCAGTTTTTATTGAATGTTATCCATTGTTTTATATATCAATTATACACATATAGGACATTAGTAAAACATCTCTATAGAAATATACTTTAATTTTGGTGAGATTGAAACAGGCGACTGCGTCATTCACTACACCATTCGTCCAGCTGGCCATGTTCGATCTCTGTATGCATATTTGTTATCTTCCAGGGCCGTACTATGGATCAGTGTGTCAGCCAGATCATCCGGAAAGCTGCCTATTCAATGATCAGCTGCAATGTTTGGCTCTTGATAATGAAAACAAGTCGACATGTCGGTGCGAAAATGAGACCGCATCTTACTGGGACCACACTTCAACAGAATGTAAACCACGTGCGTACTTTAATTTCCACGGATGTACATGACCATACATTATTAATACTGAATACATCTTTTTTAACCTGATAAGATATATGTTATTTGACTGGTCGGTTGTGAAATCTTTGTTGTAATTTACTGCTTTAAGCACTTACATCTCTATAATAAATACAGCTAAAAGGTTCCTAGTAACATGTCGATAACGCCAATTTGTAAAACAGACCATTTCTTCTGTTATGTTTCTGTTTTTCACAAAAAGACACCACACATTTTTATGTATTGAATATTTCTTACCAGGTCTACAGTATGGCTCTGACTGCAATCCGGATTTATTGAACAGCTGTGAACACAAGACAGATCTAAAGTGTTTGCCCTTTGGTAATACTAGTCAATACACGTGTCAATGCGCAGACGAAACTCAGACTTTCTGGGACGGGGATGAGCTAAGTTGTTCGAATCGTAAGTCTTACAAACAGGGTTCTCTATTACGACTAATGCAATAATGTGTTTATTCTTAACCACAGACGAGAGAAAGGTGCGCTTTACTTCATTAATATAATCATATAATACCTGTGTATTACATATAAGCTAACTTTTAAGCTCTATGAAACAAAATTTCTCCATGATAATTAGCGCTAAGGTTGAACAAAACATAATCGATTCTGATTACGAAACCTGGAGTAAATAAAAAAAACCCTGTCTTATCTGTAACATATTGGTATTGTATTGATGTTTGTTTTACATAATTGCTGGTATTTATACTTGCTATCATTTGTATGTTATCAGAACTTTGTGGAAGATGACGACATGTTCACATATCAAAAACAAAATAATATGTTAATTTTGTGATATTTTTACAAGATCTATTAATTGGTTAATCATACAATGTGTTGGTCAAATATTGCATCGGGAATCCTGCGATCAAAACACAGACCTCATTATCTCTAAAGCAGTTGAAAGTATTTGTAAAACGACAAATATTTCACCTTTGCATTTTCCTAATTCTTTATCTGGCCAGCAGTATAATGCATGTTGCTTACCATTTACTTTAATATTCAAAATGCCATGCTCTACCATAAACGCCACACGTAAATTGTACAGTTAGGCATCAATAAATATGAAAAAATCTGTGCTATCAGAACGTCATACTAATAATTCAAAATAAGTATGTGTTAATATTTGCGTTTTCATCACAGGAACACAGTACGGGGATACATGCAATTCCGATTATGTAGATAGCTGCAGGCATAACAAGGAGCTGAGCTGTCTACCAACCGCCAATTCTGAAAATTTCACGTGCCAGTGTAAAAATGAAAACGATACTTTTTGGGATAGAAAGATGACATCATGTAACCAAAGTATGTATTTCTACTTATATTCTTACTATTCTATTATATTTTATGAATGATATACCATTAAATCAAGGAGAGTCGACCGCTGTTATGATAAAATGTCCTATTACTCTGTGTGGGAAACAGAATATGCCTGTTTAACCACTACTTTTTGTTATTCATTAGGATCCTATGTTGGTTCCTTAAGATACGAGCAAATCGAACGTTTGGTCCTTTTCTACAGCGTGCATTTTTTTCAATAATAGCGAATTTGAAATGCGCAGATTTATTTGCATAATGCGTTGTATTTCTTGGTTTGCGATTTCTCATTTACATGATAATTTTATATACATTTTTAGGACCTGAATATGGGGATGTTTGTAAACCGGAACTACCAAACAGTTGTGTTCATAATGCCCATCTGCAATGTAAACCAGGTCCAACGTCAGGAAATTATACTTGTCAATGTATCAACGAGACATCTACCTTCTGGGAATCAACTGTTTCAGAATGTTCTCCGAGTATGTTCATATATATTATAAAACTTCAGTTTTCTCCCTACAGATTTGGAAATATACAGAAACGATAAAAAAAACATAATTACGGCGTGTCCAAAGGTTTCTGGTTGGCGTCTTTACTGATATGCTGCTTGCCATATTGAGCTGTCAATAAAAACATACTAAACCATATATTGTTACCATTGTAGTATACTCATTTTCTTTCACTCTTCTTTCAATCTTGATTGAAATGGGGTATCCCAATCGCTTCTTTGCTTAATTACTATGGTTGTTATTTTGATTTTTAAGGACCAAGGAACAGACAAAGTTGTGATTCTAGCTTCCCAGACAGTTGTCAGTTTAATTCAGAGCAGAAATGTTTATATTCAAACGAAAGTGGACAACATATTTGTCAGTGTGCTAATGAAATATCAACATACTGGATGGGCGGAAACAATAAATGCGAAAATAGTAAGTTTCAATGTGTCTAAAATATGTCTACATACTTAAGTAAAGACAACATTTTCGAGATAATTATTTTGTTAATAGGAAACTCGGCTTTCGTTAAGGACTTGTCTTTAACAAATTGGTATTTATCTTCGTTTAATGAAATATATGATAGATAGTCTGTATAATCCAAGCTATAAAATTTACATTATTGTAATTCATATATACCTCATACGGCATTTACATGCATTTCGTTTTATCATGCGCCTGTATTATAAAATTATTGAGCTGATTGAATAGATAAAAAGATATTTTAATACTCGTGCTTGATTTTATTCTATTTCTTTATAGGACCTGAATACGGAGAAGAATGCCTTCATGAGTATAGTGACAGTTGTCGGGATAATATTTACCTGACATGTGTCCTATCTAACACAACAGGGAAAGCAACATGCCAATGTATTAACGAAACGGCAACATTCTGGGAATCGGCAAAGTCTGAATGCAAACCAAGTATGTATATAACTGCTACAATGCAGCCTATACACGTATGTTGGGTTTTTTTCCTACATCCTCATATATTTACACTACCATCCAATATTTATTGTTTCGATTGGAAAATCACGTGAATTATGAATAAGAAATAAGAATGGTTATACTTTATATATAGCATAAATATTAAGTGCATGCGCTAGTGATATTTACAAAGATAAATAGTACGAAGAAGTGATATTTAAAGACGCTTGGAGATTTGCCCGCATTCGATATTTATCAATTGATTTACAACAGGACCAGGCTATGGATCACAATGTCAATCGGAGTTCCCCGAAAGCTGTAGTCCTCAGTCAGAACTGGAATGTTTGACATCCGATGATGAAGGAGTCCATGTATGCCAGTGTAAAAATGAAACTTCTACATTCTGGGAATCTTCCAAAATGGAATGTAGCACAAGTAAGTTGAATATGAATTAGCATCGTCATTGAATATAAATCAAATTTCATATTCTTCACTGAAATTTATATATAAACGCTAATTGCATTTCAACCATAGGGTAAGTATCATTTGTTTTAGTTTTTGCCTTTAATTTCATCTCATTATTAACAGAAATAACAATTTCCTTTTTGTCTTCATATAGGGACCTTATACGGAAATGAGTGTTTACCAGAATATTTGAATAGCTGTGAGCATAGTTCGGAATTACAATGTCTTTATTCCAACCAGTCTCAAACATTTGTTTGTCAATGTAACGACGAACAAACCACATTTTGGGATCCAACTTCCTCCAAATGTAGATCGAGTAAGTGCTTCTTTTCATATTTAGTTTTCGTAGTAATTTCTTTTAATATTAGTACTAATATGAACCAGAAAGCTTGTTCCTTTTCCTACAGGTAAACACATTATTATCGATGAATATCAATATTTATTTTTTTCACATGTTTTACTAACAACATCATCATACATATACAGGTACACACAGATATACCGACATATATACGTACCTTTTTCACACATTCATTTATAAGTGTTCGCAAATACACAAAAATATAAATACATATATATGATAATGCTATCATAATGCAATACACAAGAAAGAAGATATGATAATGAGTTTTAGGACCACCTTATTTCGAGTCTTGTTATTTATTAGTGTTTTTGCTTCATGGTGTTTCGAATTGACATTTATATATCTTTACTGTATTTTCAATTATTCCACCCCATCATAAATTATAATCTATTGAAAAAAAACCTGTTAACAGCCATACACATAAGAAAGTGTATTTTTAATGCAGGGAAGCAATATGGTGCATCATGTCAAAGAGATTTCCCAGAGAGCTGCCAACCACAGTTCCAGCTAGAATGTTTACCATCAGATGACTCTGAGAACTACACATGCCAATGCCGAAATGAAACCATGACCTACTGGAATCCTTCTTCTGAACGCTGTAATTCTAGTATGTAAACCTGAAATTACGGTGAATAGTTAACGTTGGCAATGTAAGGTCGTCAAAGTGTCAGGGTAATAACCAGGGATTTAGTTGTGTTCTATATAGAAACGTAAGGTCTTTTTAGGCCTACCAAAGAAAGGTTTTACTATTTTGTTTCTTTATTGTTATTTTATCGATTGTCGTCTTATATTAGCGTAATGTTATATTTTCCCTACTTTTGTATGAAAAAGGATGGAATTCCCTAAAGGTAAACTATAATGTATTAACTCATTACTCTTGTTCGTTTGATTTCACGTCGTATAGTCGCTTCATTGCTTAATAGGTTAGAAAAGGAAATGTAGGGGCAAACTGTTAGTAAAAAAGGGGGCAAACTGTTGGTACAAAAGTGGGCAAACTATTTGTACAAAAGGGGGCAAACAGTTTGTACAAAAGGGGGAAACTGTTGGTACAAAAGGGGGCAAACTGTTGGTACAAAAGGGGGCAAACTGTTGATACAAAAGTGGGCAAACTGTTGGTACAAAAGGATAATCATCTTGTTCCTTTTGAGTAATACTGCACCAGCGTATTTCATCTAGACTGCGAATGTAGGTTGATTCATACAACTGCATAAAAGATAGATAGGTGAAAAGTAACGTAAAGTTTAGAGGTAGATATAGATAGCCTAACAATACATGAATCTGCATCATATAGCTTTTTTATCCTCACATATGACTTTATAGTTGAAGCAAAGGGTGCGTCTGTAGTAAAATACAATAGTTTTGAAAAATGTCCACTACAGTACAAACAAATGTATACTAGACCCAGTATTATGCTAAAATACATATTATGTTCATATCTATTTATTTCCATTTTTGGTATTCAAGTTGATTTCAAAATGTAATCTACTTGATTGTTTAATACATAATATAACGAGACAGGGAAACGACACATAAATTAAGGAGGGTTGAATACATTTTCAGGACCTCAGTACGGAAATCAATGTCTTGGTGACCTAGAGGATAGCTGTTTATACAACAATGAACTGAGCTGTCTCTATTCAGAGTCTTCTACAGAATATAGATGTCAGTGTCATAACGAAACATCTTCGTATTGGAATCCGGAGGAAAATCGATGCAACACAAGTAAAGATCTTTTTGCGCAATGTTTTTCTCTTTCGTGTGTTTATTTTAGAGGTCGTTATTTGTAAAAAAAAAAAAAAAAAAAACGCTATTGAGGTCCTAACAGAAATGAACAACTTTACTTGACAAACTAACATCCAGATAGTGTACTTTGTATATAGGATTGTGTGTGAAATATAACCTCTTAAATTGTGGGCGCTATAATTTTGCTCATTGATTCTAATTAAATGTTGTTTTGCATCATTTCATAATTTTATGATATATTCCATAAGAACGTCAGACGTATTGAAATTCACTTTAACTATTTAGCGATAGAGAATAGTTTCATTTAATTATCTTAAATCAATAACCAGTTTTAAACGTTTCGCTGTATGCCACGTGTCAACTCTATAAATACCATAAATTATAACTTTTCATTGAGTGTTTTAATTTATAAGTCTTTAATCTGAATCCTGTATATTTCAGGACCTGAGTATGGCTCAACTTGTTTACCAGAATTTCCAAAAAGTTGTCAGTTCCCAAATGAACTCGAATGTGTGACATCAGAAAATGGAAATGCAATATGCCAGTGTCGGAATGAATCCAGTACATTCTGGAACACAGATTCAAACATATGTACACCGAGTAAGTTATACTATACTGAAGGCTTCAGTAGAGTTTTGTCGGATTGTTGTATTTCAGCCGATTACCTTTGATGATACAATGTATTCGATATCAACGTCAAAATTATTCGCTTGGTCACAAACGACAAAAGGTGTCATTTTCAATCTATTGATGCAAGTTAAAAGATGTTGATAAGGAATAGTACCTCTGTATTTTCAGGGCCTGAACATGATGGCAGCTGTGACAAGTCATTTCAAGACAGCTGCCAACCTGCGAGCCAATTGCAGTGCCTCCCAAATGAAGACGGGTATAATTTCACTTGTCAATGTAGAAACATATCTGCCGACTTCTGGGACGATTTAAGCCATACCTGTCAACCACGTGAGTTGAATGATATCTCCATGATCTACCATCGCATAATATACTTGGTTATGAAATTTTAAGGTGGAAGTGCCAGGTGTCTTGTTCTATAGTTCAATAATATAGCACCTTATATAGAATCATATACAGTAGATCAAATAATGAATTATGTTTTGTCATTTTAGGAATCCTTCCGCGATTTTTAAAGCTCAGTTAAATCTTCGATCAACATTTATCTGCAGATAACTCAAAATTTAGATGGTAGATTTGAAGGGTGCTTCCCCCAAGATTTGTTAAATCTTATCAATTTCAATTGAAAATTGACGTTCAAGAAACATTAATTATGTAACTCGAACAAAGTTTACTACATCGTTATGGAAGTTTCCACACATTTGCACAAAAAATGAAAAGCGGAAGTTTTTGTTTTTTGTTGTTCTTTTTTTAATTTTTTGTTTGTTTTGTTTTTTGTGGATACTATAGAATATGAATGATGCTATCACCTGACATGTCAGATTTCGGTGAAGTATGGTATATACTTGTGTTATGCAATCTGCAATCATCTTCCCTGACGGCAATGGTAGTTTTTAAAACTATCAGTTTCATTTATGACTTGTATTTCTATATATAACGTTCTGAATAATATATTTATTTCTATATATAACGTTCTGAATAATATATTTATTCCAGGTCCATTGTACAACGAGGAATGTGATCCGACATATCCCAACAGCTGCGAACACAACAAGCAACTTACGTGCAGTAAAGACACTGAATCTGGGAAATACATATGCCAATGTGATAATGAAAATGAAACATTCTGGCACAATCAAACCTCGACATGTAACAGACGTAAGTAAATTAATAATAATAAAAGCAAAGAAACAAAACAAACAATCAAAACAAGAAAACAAACACACAACAATAACGACAGTATAAATTATCAAATTTCAGTAGCGTTGAGTGCTATCTATTTCAAGTGAAGGACACTGCTTGTAGGTTCAATTAGGAAAATTGAAGATTGCAGTATGACCCCAAAACTCACAAAGCAATAAATTTTGTTTGAATACATAAAATCAAAAACGTCTTGTGCATACATGACAGGAACCCCATACAAGGGTTTTGAACAAAAATATAATGTTGATGAATCTTCCATGAAAGTTTGTGACCTCATTTCATTGTGGTATGATCTGCTTCTCATTTCTAAAGCGTAAGTCATTAATGTATTATACTGTGTTCTCGTTTATAGAACTTTGGTAATGTTAGTTTGCATTTGTTTTCATAAATGTCTGTCAAATATAGATGCGATTTCGAAACAAAAGCTATTAGGTTGTATATTAAAAGCGTAATTTCGCTTCATTATTCAGAGATAAGTCGATACTACAGTTACGAAAATATATTGCGTAGATTAAGTCGAAACGGTCGATTTGTTGTTTTTTATAAATAATATTGATTCTTATGATCTTCTTTCAACTTTCGCTTGTATGTTCTTACTATTTTTGTCTGTTCTAGTTTTGTACTATGATTACTTTTATGAGTTCATTTTATCTTTTATTATATTCATAGGACCAGCATATGATAGCCAATGTTTACCTGAATTCCCAGAAAGCTGCGCTCACAATGATCAATTAGTGTGCTTAGAAAACAATGAGGGAAACTTCACTTGTCAGTGTGTGAACGAAACATCAACATACTGGAATCCAAACGAAGCTATGTGCATTGACAGTGAGTGGGGGATTCTACATCAGTCATGAATTCATCAAATGCAATGTCTCATCCTAACATTTAGAAGATTGTTTATTGGGACATATTTACATTAACATTGCGATGACTGATGTCAGATAAAAAAAACATGGGAATCAAAACGCATTTAAAATAGAGCGAAATATGGACCAAAAAAGACTTACAATGAGATTCCAGGAAAAAAAGGGGGGAAATAGATCGGGTGTTTCAGAAGAGTCGGCGTCTTAATGCAATGTTTTTATTCCTCTCACAAAATAAAAATACTCACCTTTCATTGATTAGTAATTCAAATTCAACACAAAGCTCAAATTATCTTTGTTGTGATACATTGTATATTGTTTAGAAGTCCATTTTTTCTAATCTAGAATATCCAGAATATTTCCAAACATTCTAATGTAATTGTACAATATCGTATGCTAACATTCTTAATTGGAATAACTTGATCCACTATTTGTTGTAGGGCCTTCCTATGGACAGGAGTGTGATACTAATCTGACGGACAGCTGCTCACACAACTCCCAGCTGGTATGTATTGTCACTGAAAATGGACTTGGTAGGTGTCAGTGTGAAAACGAGACTGGCGACTATTGGGATGACAGAAAACAGATATGTGACACACGTAAGTAAAAAAATGGATTTTAATGTATGATTAGGTGTGAAAGATATATCGAGAAAATATAACCGAATAATGCTTTAACGATTGCATATGTAACAAACATTTGTGTATCAATTATAGAAACAATGGTTAATATCATATGACGAATATGAAAACCTTACATATGATTTTGAATACTTCGTTCTAAAACCCAATCGAATACCTGGAATTCTTTTAAATGATGTGATTGTTATGTCGGGATATGTATAAGTATGCGATGATAATGGTTACAGGTTATGAATACGACCAGAAATGTACAGTAGGAGGAATCAATAGCTGTTCATTTTCGTCGGAGCTTCAATGTCTGTTATCAGCCAAAGACACCGAATATACATGTCAATGTCGAAATGAAAACTCGACATTCTGGGAGTCTGCAGTGTCAAAATGTAATCCAAGTATGTACATTAATGTTCTCATCTTATGATTAACAGTGTCATCCCTAATCTATCATTTTAATAATTAACAGTGCCACCCCTTTTCTCCCATTCTTGTGATTAACAGTGTCACCCCTTTTCTCTCATTCTTATGATTAACAGTGTAACCCCTTTTCTCTCATTCTTATGATTAACAGTGTCACCCCTTTTCTCTCATTCTTATGATTAACAGTGTCACCCCTTTTCTCTCCTTCTTATTATTAACAGTGCCATCCCTTTTCTCTCATTCTTATGATTAACAGTGTAACCCCTTTCCTCTCATTCTTGTGATTAACAGTGTCACCCCTTTTCTCTCATTCTTATGATTAACAGTGTAACCCCTTTTCTCTCCTTCTTATGATTAACAGTGTAACCCCTTTTCTCTCATTCTTATGATTAACAGTGTAACCCCTTTTCTCTCATTCTTATGATTAACAGTGCCATCCCTTTTCTCTCATTCTTATGATTAACAGTGTCACCCCTTTTCTCTCATTCTTATGATTAACAGTGTCACCCCTTTTCTCTCGTTCTTATGATTAACAGTGTAACCCCTTTTCTCTCATTCTTATGATTAACAGTGCCATCCCTTTTCTCTCATTCTTATGATTAACAGTGTAACCCCTTTTCTCTCATTCTTATGATTAACAGTGTAACCCCTTTTCTCTCATTCTTATGATTAACAGTGTAACCCCTTTTCTCTCATTCTTATGATTAACAGTGTCACCCCTTTTCTCTCATTCTTATATTAACAGTGTCACCCCTTTTCTCTCATTCTTACGATTAACAGTGTCACCCCTTTTCTCCCATTCTTATGATTAACAGTGCCACACATTTTATCTCATTCTTTTGATTAACCGTGTCACCCCTTTTCTCCCATTCTTATGATTAACAGTGCCACCCCTTTTATCTAATTCTTATGATTAACAGTGTAACCCCTTTTCTCTCGTTCTTATGATTAACAGTGCCATCCCTTTTCTCCCATTCTTATGATTAACAGTGTCACCCCTTTTCTCTCATTCTTATGATTAACAGTGTCACCCCTTTTCTCTCATTCTTGTTATCAACAGTGTCACCCCTTTTATCTCATTCTTTTGATTAACAGTGTCACCCCTTTTATCTCGTTCTGATGATTAACAGTGCCACACATTTTATCTCATTCTTTTGATTAACCGTGTCACCCCTTTTCTCTCATTCTTACGATTAACAGTGTCACCCCTTTTCTCTCATTCTTGTTATCAACAGTGTCACCCCTTTTATCTCATTCTTTTGATTAACAGTGTCACCCCTTTTCTCTCATTCTTGTTATAAACAGTGTCACCCCTTTTATCTCATTCTTGATATTAACAGTGTCACCCCTTTTATCTCATTCTTTTGATTAACAGTGTCACCCCTTTTCTCTCCTTCTTATGATTAACAGTGCCACCCCTTTTCTCTCATTCTTGTGATTAACAGTGTCACCCCTTTTCTCTCCTTCTTATTATTAACAGTGCAATCCCTTTTATCTCATTCTTATGATTAACAGTGTTACCCCTTTTATCTCGTTCTTTTGATTAACAGTGCCACCCATGTTCTCTCATTCTTGTTATTAACAGTGTCACCCATTTTCTCTCATTCTTACGATTAACAGTGTCACCCCTTTTCTCTCATTCTTGTTATAAACAGTGTCACCCCTTTTATCTCATTCTTGATATTAACAGTGTCACCCCTTTTCTCTCATTCTTATGATTAACAGTGTCACCCCTTTTATCTCATTCTTTTGATTAACAGTGTAACCCCTTTTCTCTCATTCTTACGATTAACAGTGTCACCCCTTTTCTCTCCTTCTTATGATTAAGAGTGTCACCCCTTTTCTCTCATTCTTATGATTAACAGTGTCACCCCTTTTCTCCCATTCTTATGATTAACAGTGTCACCCCTTTTCTCCCATTCTTATGATTAACAGTGTCACGCCTTATCTACCTTTCTTGTTATTTTACAGCACGTTACAGTCTTTCAATTTTGATAACAACGACCAAAAAATGTCGTTGACAATAAGTATTTTTGTAAATGTGTTGAAAAAAGAATGTGTAATCCCAGGTGTGATTTACTACACCCGACTAAAAGTATTACTGAAGTATGAATGCAAACGATAAGAATTCTAACGTAAAGAAGTACTCAAAAACACTACTTTAAGTGATTACATATGATCATATATTGTAAAATCAAATTTCCTATTTTTTGCTTTCAAAGGACCAGTCTATGGAGAAAACTGTTCGTCATCGTACCCCGATAGCTGTCAATCGAACACGCAACTTATTTGTTCCTTTTCGCATGAATCTGGAACTAGCATTTGTCAATGTGCCGACGAAAACACAACGTTTTGGGAAACTACTTTAAGTTCCTGTGAACAGAGTAAGTGACATTTAGTGGAAATTAGAACTCGTTCCTTATCGCGTATCAAGTTAGTACAAATAAAGCTGTTTTTGTATGTATTAAGTGTTTAGTGATATATATATATATAAGAACGTTTGATTTAATTGATGCATGTACCAAATTGTTCCAATAGTATTGAATCCTTGTATTGAATATTTTGTACTCTGTTCATAAATTATACAAATAGTTTCGAATCTCAAGTCGACGACGAAACGATGAAATATTCTATAAAAGAATCCAAACTTTCTACGTTTTCGATTTTAGGGCCTGGCTACGGAAGCTCGTGTGATGTAAATTTCCCAGAAAGCTGTCGGTACAATAGCGACCTAGTTTGTATGGATACAGGATTATCTGGAAATGCTATATGCCAATGTAAAGATGAAATATCGACATACTGGGACAGCAAATCATCGCAGTGTAAAACAAGTAAGGCAAAAAATAAATATTTTGTTTATTTACTACATTTTGCATTTTTTTAATCTTTATTGTAAAACAAAACTGAGTGTTGGCAAAAAATCAGTTATGACCGTTTTAAGATTGGTAAGTCACTGTCAACTGGTTTTAATAGAAATGACATGGGACGGCGAATTGCTTGAAACAAATATTATTTTTCCTACATAGGACCAACATATGGATCATCATGTGATAAAGATATCCCTGGAAATTGTGAACACAATGAACAACTACGATGCATTTCAACTGGAACAACGACAAAACACACATGTCAATGTGCAGATGAAGCTAAAACATTCTGGGATCCCGATAGCTCTGTTTGCACAAAAAGTAAGATTAAATCTCATTAGATATTTTTCATAGTTCTATATAAAGACTTTTATAATGTAGTTTCAATGTCGTATTATTGTGTATTTGAAAACAAGAAATAAAATATTAAAATGGACTGTTTTTTCGAGATACTGTGTACATATGTTTTAATTAATCACGACGATAATGCCAAATCTATACGAAGGTATTTAGATACTATGAAACTTGTTGAATTCGTGGGTATTAATTTTAAGGATATTTTCGATGATGATAATTATACCATGGACCATGTTACTTCACGTATACATCCTGTTTACTCAAGCATTTGGATAAAAGCGCAAAATTTTGTACCATCGAAATGCCAACCTTACCATTATAGCCTGAATGTTACAATTTCTATTCTAGGGCCGGAGTATGGCGATACGTGTCAGGAAAACCTTCGAGACAGTTGTATGTTTAAATCTGATGTGGTTTGTCTACCTTCAACTACGACCGGAGAATTCATTTGTCAGTGTGAAAATGAAACTCTTACCTTTTGGAATCCCGATAAACAATCATGCAATGGACGTAAGTATAGGACTATTTACATTTGTTATTTCACTTTATCATCGACCACAAATGGTTACAAGTAAAGACATTGTCTCATTCCTTGACTATTGAATATGGATCCATTCAAATATTTTACTCCACCGAGAGTTTGTCTTTGATGTGTATAATAATCGTAATTAACTATAGTTGGCTTACCTTGCATTTGACGATTTAAACTTAAATGATTGATTGATGTAACACACGCTTAATTCGATACTTATCCATATATTTGAACGACTTATCCTGGTTCATTTGAAGAATGCTTACAGTCACATACTCATGTAATTTATTTTAAATGGATTATGATATTTTAGCAATAAATCTTGATGTATGTATATTCGAAATCTTCTTACCTATATTTATGATAATATTTTCTGTATTATATACAGGACCAGGATATGGTGATACATGTGCGTCTGGTCTAACAGAAAGCTGTTTATATAACTCCCAGCTGAAATGTGTGTCGTCTCCCGGCAAAACATTGTCTAGATGCCAATGTAGTGATGAGATCGACACCTACTGGGATTTAAAAACTAGCACCTGTCAAACCCGTAAGAATACATGCACTTTTACGAAACCCCAAAGTGCAACTGGGAAGAGTCATATACAAGAACTGCAATTTTAAAATGAATTTGATGTTAACGAATGCGTTTATAAAACATTAGGTTTCGGGACTGACACAATTTATTTAGATAAATTGCATTTATATTTTACTATGCTGATATCCTTGACACATAAGGGAACAACAATCTGAGTTGTCGGTGATTGATAAAGAGATATATATCAGCATAAATCTCCACACTAACACCAGGTGTTAGGTTGATTCAGAATACCTATATTTCCATGGTGTACAAATTCTTCGGAATACTCCCATGAACACCCTCATTCTTTAACAATGCAGCATGAGTCGTGAGTAAGAATCATTAAATGTAACTTTAGTTGATACAATCAAACAACCAATCAAACTGCATCATACAACCATAACAAAGGGGAATAATTCATAACAATTATGAATCTTAATTTTCAGGTCCAGCGTATGGAGATGAGTGTGACGCTAAACAAAAGGACAGTTGCCGTCACAATTCCCAGCTTAATTGTCTCAAATCGACAACAACTGGGCTCTATCAGTGTCAATGTTCCGATGAAAAATCAACGTTTTGGGACAATACGACAGAGACGTGTCAAGAACGTAAGGCATATCTTTTATCATATATGTATTATGCTGTTAATTAAAACAGGGTAATTTTGATCACGTGGATATACCTTCAATGAACTAATCAGTCATCTGGTGACATAGCATGTACACGACATGTGATCGAATTTACCCTAATCACAATTCTAACAACTTACCTTCTTTTGAAAATGCACATGCAAGGGTAGACAACTCAAACACAGAAATTTCAGAGATTCAAAATACGTAATCATACAACACTAAAGGAGTTTTAAACATGGAGTAATCACATGCTCGTTCTATACAAGGTAATCCTTGAAATGATGGAAGCTTTTCTTTATTGATTTGTAAATGTCTTAGATATTACAACCGATAATGTTTAACTGCGTGTAAATATACACAAAATTCAACATCTAGCGTCTGAGATATTCCCTCTTTTTATGGATGTGAAGGGAGATGGCACGACAATAGATTTACAATACTCCTATCATTTCAGGTATCCCACTTTCTATACCCGCGTTTTCACTATTTGTAATATCAGGGCAAATATTCGCTTACGTTTTATACAATAGTATGTGTACTTAAGGTAAACAACCGACATTACGCACTTTATACCTGTATCACTCTCTTATCATCAATGAAATATGCGGGGAATGGTCAGATTGATTAGAAAAATATGATGAGGTTGAAAAATACAATTTGAAATGTCAAAATAATGGATTAGTTTAATTGATTTTGTTTTAGATATATATTTATCAACATTTTGTTAACAAGGGTTGGGGTCGGCAGTTAGACTTGTTTTTGTTAACTTATTGCGCAGTTATCAAAATCTACTGCCAAATCACTTCTTACCCTAATTGAATAGAAAGCCAATTAATGGTCGTAATTTGGCATATATATTTGAAAATGAATTTCAACAGGCCCGGCGTACGGTGCGACATGTAACGCTGACATTCCAGACAGCTGTGTTCATAAGGCAGAGCTCGTATGTGTCGTATCAAGTACTGGTGATTCGAGATGTCAGTGTCAGAATGAGACGACGACATATTGGCAAACGGAAAGAACGAAGTGCACTAATCGTATGTTAACATCTCCTAAAAGCATTCAAATGTATTATCCACTTTCGTTCCAACTTTTATTGGACCTTAGTTCTACAGTTTTGTTGAGAATAATTCGAAATAGAAAACTAAAGATATCTGTAATCATAAAATGACAAGTTGATGATAGATTTATAAATGATGCAAATAATTTGAAATAAACAACTTTAATAGTTTTCATAGAAGTTTCTGTGCGAAACATATATTCTTTTAGCCATATCGTCTTTGTAGGTCCAGGCTATGGTGACATTTGCGAGTCCAAATTTCCTGGCAGCTGTCAACACAACTCGGATTTGCAATGTTTGAAATCATTAACAGGCAATGATTTTAAATGTCAATGTAAAAATGAGGATTCTTTGTTCTGGGATCACAACAAATCTAAATGTAAACCACGTACGTAGATATATCTAACAACTGTAGATAGTTTTACTTCCTTTTTATGTTTGAAAAAACAGCAAGTTTTTATGCAAAATTGTGATTTAGATAATCTTATAAATATTTCTAGCATAACCATTACTACCAATAGCACACAAAATATTTAAAGCATGTTTTATCCGTGAAAACATAAAATTTATTTAAATAATTTCGAAAGTCGACGTTTTCAGTGAACACTTGTCATCATGTGAAGGAAGTCGATATGGGATCTACAAAACATTCTTCGTGTCGATATATATAGATATTAAGACAACAAAGTTCGCGACTAAAGATTTAAACATTGAACAGTTACTAACTACTTTGTTTAACATCTCTGCTTAGGACCAAAATATGGCGAAAAGTGTCAGTCTGGATTTAAAAACAGCTGTGTTCACAACACCGAGCTTGTGTGTTCTCCTGAAACACAAGGGAGTGACAGCACATGTAGTTGTAAAAACGAAAACAGTACTTTCTGGGATTCGAAAACAATGGACTGCAAAATCAGTAAGCAATTATTTCTCTATACAATATATTTGTGTTGTTTGTATCGTAAAATCTTAAATCTGCAGGTTTATTATTTCTTTCAAATCATTAATTCTTTCTTCTTTTTTATTGTTTTATCTGTGTTATACTCTTATTTTGCATAACCGACATAAACTAAAACTGCCGTTATGCTTCCTTTTTTCATGTACAATAACTCATACAAAAACAACTTGCAGCATTTTGTTACAATGTAAAAGGCATACAAAACTACTAAGCACACATCTTTTATAATAATGAAAATTGTGTTTTACAGGACCAGAATTTGGGGAATCATGTCAGGCAGAATTCAAAAATAGTTGTAACCACAACGCGGAACTACAATGTTTACCTAACAGTAATGGGGCTGGTACCATTTGTCGCTGTAGGGATACTGATATTCAATACTGGGATCACAAAGAGTCGACGTGTAAAACAAGTAAGTAACACTATAGTACCTGTATTAACAAATAAGCTAGGATTTTCGTTATTCATTTTCCAAAAAATCAGGAAACATTTTACATATATAGAAATTAACCAATAAACGGCTTTATATCCCATAACGATCTAGTGGTAACACATTAAACAGTAGATAAATGTTCAATATTGTTGCTTTTTTGGAGTAAAAAGTTCCGAAGTCTACAGGAAGCAATATCAATTTAAAAGGTTTGATAAAGGAAGTATCTCTAAACTTTACTGATAAGGAATATTGATCATGTGTATGTTATATGTGTGTATCTGTTAATGAAGGACCTACCTACGGAGCCGACTGTCAGTCTGGCTATCCTGATAGTTGTATGTACAATGAACATCTGAAATGCCGGGAGATGGGTGGACCTAATAAATATTCATGCAGATGCGTTGATGAAATTCTACTCTTCTGGGATAACACCACCAATTCCTGCCAAATTCGTAAGTTCATTTTACATAAAATGTACAAGTCAATAATTGTGTGTTGCAAAGAGATATTTTTACAGTTACAACGTATAGAGAATTGATTTTCATTGGACATAAATTTGTCATGTGACCAATGTATCATATAGGATAACTTCACCATTTTCTAAAGCATATAAAGGTTGCATAACAAGTTTCAAAACCACTAGAGTATCATAGAATATCTACATGTTAACAAAACAAATTTATTAGAGTACTAAACATTTTGTGTATTCAAATGCTGTCCTAATCTTAAATCAAATCAACTATCCTAAAATGAGTAATTATGGGTCACATAGATTTGATTCCTTTTATTCAATTCATCCACTTCGGCGTTTGGATTTTTCTAACTATATCTCGTGTGTAAACTCAAATTCAACTTTTTTTTTATTTTTTCCACTTCGACTCGTATTTAAATGCACAAGCAGTGCACTTTGTAGCAAGTCTACTGCTGTATCATTTAGAGGATTACAAAAGATAAAAGTTTTAAATTATGTTTCTATGATACAGGGCCAACTACTACCACGCCTCCACCTGTTCCAAAAGGTACGTAAAATTGCGGTTATAAGATACCTTCGAAAATGCTGGAATTCGATGTAGTAAAGCTGTCTGATTAAATTGGCTTCACTACATAAGTATATTGAAAAATCTACATGTAGAAAAAAGCTTACATTTGTATTCGAACTTAAAACATTATAACCGAAAGATGTTTCTACTTCCGTTAAAATCGATTAATATAAGAACAATCATGAATCATGTCTGAGACGTTCATAGTTTCATTAGAACTGCATATATTAATAAATCCTGTTTCGTCGATCCTTGCATATCATAAGTAATAAAACATTGTTTACGTAAATACATTGATGATTATTTGAAGTAAACAAAGTAATCAATAAATAATCGCAAGTATAATCATTGTATGAATCAGTATCTCTTGAACATTACCGTGACGGTCATTTATAACAATTATAAAATAAATTGTTGAAGTTACCTAGTATCCAATGTCATGTTGTTGTTATGTTTAAGTAATTGAAAGGATGTATATATTATGTTTTGTGTCATACGTGTTTGAGCTTGTTTATCACCATTTTTAATTCAATCCTATTTATTATCTTATGTTTTGGACAGGATTATTTTTCAAGGGTGATGAAGGCGTGCTTGGTGATAGAAGAGTAACATCTAAATGTTATATAGAAAATTTCACCGACTGGGAATCACTCGTGATATCAAGAAATAACGTAGACATGATAACACTGTCGTCATCTACTGGTAAACTACAGTCTAATTTCGATCGATTTGTGAAAGCCAAACCAATGATGAGAGGGAACAAAGCGGGAATCTTCTTCCGGTTCGGTAGACTACAGTGTAAAGATGAAGGCACATACTCATGCGCGGTTGACGGACAATATACTCAAACAGCCCAAATTGTAGCAAAAAGTACGTTTATTTATATAATTTGTTTAAGGACAATAAATTATTCATAAATATTTCATCGATATTTGTATTCAGAGGTCGGTTATCTTAATAACTCTTTTCCAGTGACTCTTTAGTAACAGGTTGGAAATTATTTTCAAAGCAAGTTTTGCACTTTCAAACAAAAAATATTGAAATGTACTTGGTTCCTAAACAAAGCAGGACAACGATACTGTATCTCTTGAACTGCCTTCTATTATTATACACTTGTAAGAAACTATTTAGTAAATTAATGTAATTCTACTATCTGTATTTTGTATTAATCAGCACTCGCCAAAGGAGTTCCAAAACTTTCATTAGATGGTGAGATCTTCGGAGAGAGGCGAACTGTATTCACTTGTTCTGGTAATCCGGGATATCCAAACGGAAAACTTGGGTGGAAGGTTAAATTTAAGGATGAGAATACGTTTAAAGATTTCGTATTCCATAGCAGCAGAAACGTTGTAACTGACACTGACTGCGTTCGACACGAAGTCGTTAATACTACTTTTCTATTCACCATGAAATGGAACGGTGCAAAACTACGGTGTCAAGCCATTGGTTCGAGGCAATATGCAGAAGTCGACATCTGGCTTATTTCTGGTATGTGATCGTAAACTAACACTTTAGTGGACTGAGTCTATCCATTTGTATTGTAAACAATGTATACAACAATAAGCAATATGCAGACGTTAGGCGAAAGATAGATGTTGTTAATAAGTCAAACTTAAATGAAACCTTGATTCCTGTGATATTTTACTTGGAAGCATTTGCTTAATGATCATAAGTCTATATAGAACGTCTATCGCAAAATAGTGAAAGGTAACTGGACAGATGTAGATTTGCGTATGAAGGTAAAAAAACAAAAGGTTTCTGCAATATTCCAAAAACGAAAAATGTTCAAAGCAAAGAAACTATATACATGTATATAATGTATGTTAACAAGAACTTACTAGTTACACTTTTTGATTTCTTAACTTCGAATTTCTTTCAGAAAATATCTGTGACCATGCCGAACTGAACACAAGAATAAAACACCCGTATACCCGTAAGAAGTATATCTACTGCTTAGAAGAACGTATTATGAGTGATAATTGTCCTGATGGACTGTACTTTGACGAGACAAGGAGAGAATGTGTACTTGAGAACCAGTCAGCAGGTAAGATATTACTTTCATGATGATTTGGGATATATATATCGGACAAAATCCATAAATTAAAAATGACAAAACAAGGTTTAAATGTTTGTCTTTAATCAGTCTTAATAATGTTAACAGAGCAATTAATTTGAGGTCTGGGCTTGATAATTCTAATTTCAAAATGAGAAAAAAATTTTTTTTGTTATAAATTATTGAAAAAACGCACCAAAGCGCATAGAACCTTTAGTTTTATTTAAGAGATATAGTATACATACCGACGGCTGAGTGCTGTTTACTCCCGCGAAGATTTCCGATGATATGTGAAGCCAAAACTGGTAATCAAGATGTGCAGTTAAAGAAATAAAAATATATAATTCAGGTTTTAAAAACAATTACTCAGGATGATGTGTTTAAACGAAATGATCGGTTATGATATAGATAATCGGTTCACTGATTAATAAGGAATCCTGTTTTCTTATTCTTGGAATATCAAATAGGTAAATTGTGCGATTGTATCCAGCACAGCAACATACTTGCAGACATTTATATATTCACAATTAATTTCAGCGGTGTTTTTATTACAAATGTGTGTGTTTCAAATAACGTCTTCATTTTCATTTCAAAGTCGTATTTGTTTCCTGAAAGCGCGACTATTTGATTCTATTTACGTGGAACTCTCTAACTTGAAGTTACAATTTTGTTTCTAATGAAATTTTCTATTTGATTTTACAGATGCGGAGTTATACTCTTGTGCTGGCAAGGCACCGGGCGTGGCTATACCTGATAAAGTGGATTGTAAAAAGTACTATTTGTGTAGCCATGGATTTAAACATTTACGAGAATGCCAACATGGATATTTCTCAATGAATGGCCCACCCTATTGTGTAAATAGATACGCGGAATCATTTTGTGGCACAAACAAAAATATTTAAATTTAAAGATTCATCATATTCAATCTTTTTTATATCTTTTTAAGTAATACCGAAGCTGTAGCTCCGGAATCACCTTTCGTGTAATATAAAGTTATTTACATCCGGACTCTCTGGTCATCGCAACCGCCCTTATTTATAGTGTAAATACTGGAGTTGAAGCTCGTTTTCATTGTTTAAATAGATTATTTGTATTATTTTCATCCTTTTAATACACATTATTTTCATTATGTTATTTGACTAATTTCCCTTTCATCCTCTATACATTAATGTTAAGCTGACATTTTAACTCGAATGTAAAGTGCTTGCTCGTTTATACTCTCCTGTCATCATATTCATGAACATGTTGATTAATAGTTTCATTTCATGATAGGCATATTTCGAACTATGAAAGTATTAACATTGCTTTTAGGCATATATGTTTATTCTTACATTGTATGTTAGCTTGTAGATACAAACAATAATCAAAGCGTTGCAAATGATTTACAAAATATTTCTATATTCATGTCCTGAAGATATTAAAACATGTATGTTTAAACAGTGTCTTCCGTTGTTGATTTTGCGCGTGATTGTCTTTCTGATTCTATTTTTATTTATACATTGTTGTTCATTATTTCCTTTAGAAATATTGTCATGGTTTTACTGACAAAAGGAAATGGACAATGGGCATATCCTCTGAAAGCCCTCTCGTTGTTAATATTAACAAAAATACAGATCCGTCCAATGATAAATCAATAGTGATAAATACTGTATTTTAGTGGTATCACTCAGGAATCCACTAGAATCATGCCGAAAGTCAACTTGCATGGAAAGCAGTAAGGCAAATTGTCCATACATATTCATCCTCCTTTGCTAAATGTATAGAAATCAGACAAAAACCGGACACAACAATGTATGAAATGTTTAAATGTTTAGAGGAATACATTTGTTCAGGCAAGCGAAGTAAACAGGATTTGTCTTTGGATAGTGAAAAGATGACATTGAAGAAAAAAGTGAGAACAGCCTTCAACCTGATGAGAATGGAATAAATCGGCGTTCCAGTTACTAACATACTTTCTTAATTGAAATAAAGTTAAATGAAGTGCACTGGTTTCCAGCATTTGCAACGGGTTGAAATAAGACATCATGTTATTGCATGAACGACATTGTGGGAAACAGACAAGATGGAATACTCCATTCAGACAATTTTTTTTGGAAAACCAGTAATATATATCTGAGTTCTTGCTAGAAGAACATTAAAACGTCTATTATGAGAAAGATGATATTAATCAATATTATTATTGATGTAATGGTGCATTGAATCAAAATTATGAGCAGGGCACATATTGACAAAAATCTTTGAAATAAAATATTTTGATGAAGGTAAAGACATTTTACAAGTGGAAGTAAACCAGATTCTCTGTATAAGCCAGTAATTTGGATTTACTCCAAAATATTTGTTCAGTACAATTTGCCCACATTATATCTGCATATTCTATAATTCGACGAATGAACGATTTAAAACGAATTTCTGTCAATTCGATATTTTAGCATTCTAAGTCAACTCTTTTGTAAGATTACTCGTTAACATGGCTGTTGAAAGAAATAGACAAAAATGATGATACCTGTGAACCTTTTTTTATAACCAAGTTGTTGAAGTTTAACTCAGGATGAAAAATCGTAGAGTCAATCCGTCTAAGTGTAAGGGACTCAGAATTTTAATGCTTCCCCATTTTTCAGATCAATTTTTCAGGATATTAGCGGCGTCTTGTCTGCCTCCCTCAATCAAAGTATATCGGAACGTATTGTTAGTAAATAATTTCACATTAGGGACTAATTCATCACCATTTATATTGATATATAATAAAAACAAGTATTAACCTGACACTGATCCTTGGGTTAATCCTGCTTGTAAAATTTATCAGTTTAGTTTTAGTCCATCTATGACTTCTCTCTGTCTCCTACTAATTAGTTAAGATGAAAACTTTTTCAATATATTGGTATTAATGCCATTTTGTTTCTATAAATATATACATGTATATTAGACCATAAAATCAAACATCATAAATAATTATTAGATAATTGACCTGTATCACGGTCACATGTATATTCTCATAGTTCTACATAATCAAATGTTTTGTTGTTTTATAGAATTAGGTTGCCATATTAGAAAGGTACCATATGACACCTAACAAAAGCAAGCACAAACTACAGATTGTGACGAGCCACATATGAAATATTGTTTAGTTGGATATACCATGTACCTAGATGTTGCCAATCTGTGATAAGTTTCTTTAGTCTATCTATAAAATAGTAAACCTGACTTTACCTTTGTATTGTACCGATTGTATGGTGTTTACATACGCGTACACAGTATGTGATTACTTTAGTAGCAATATTACTTCAGGACGATGCATATGACAATTAGCAAATTTAATGTAGTTGTTAATCAATATATATATATTATAAACTTTATTAATTATGATATCATATAACTTATAAACGTTATATCGGGTTTTATATTATCATGTATTAGTACAATATATGGCGTCATGGGTGATTGGACAGCACATGTTGAAATGCAGCGGATATTAAGGCAGAATGCGCCGTCATTTTACATGCTTACGAATGGAATGGATAATGTATAAATGGATGTATTTTTTGAAAATTTGATAATACCTTGATATAAAAAGTCTAACGTAGGTATAGTTTAGCTAGAAACCCGGTTATGTGGAACTAAGATGGTCTATATTCACTTATGATGAGGTTCGGTTCAGTCTAATCCATGTATGAATTCAGATGGTCCAGTCAACGACACCTGTAGGTACTAGGTGAACCGTGTGGCTACACTCTATGGAAATCACGTGCTATGAGTTACAGTATTGTACCTATGAACCTACCTGTATATGCATGACAGTGTCTATCCACCCGAAGTGACCGTGCAATTAGCGTACAACTTTGGAATCAATACTTGGGCGTTAGATATGTGTATTTTATATATAGACGCTAAATGCTGAACAGGAGTAAAAGAGAGAGGCCTATTCTTAGATGTATCGCTTTTTATGCCCCCGCCATTTATGGCCGGGGGCATATAGCGTTGCCCATGTCCGTCCGTCCCGTCCCGTCGCGTCGCGTCCCGTCGCGTCCCGTCTCGTCGCGTCGCATCCCAAATCAGTATATACCACCTAACAACTTCAATCGGAAGGCAATTTTCATGAAACTTCATACAAATATCAAGTATGGAAAGACCTCATGCAGTGTTGAATTTCTCGGCATTCTAAAAAAAGATGGCCACCATTGGGAGATAACTCAAAAAAGAGGAACATCATCTTATTTCTACATAATTTGGTACTTGTGGGTTTTAAGGCATAAGGAACTAATATACTCCCTCATTTTTTCCAGAGAACAAAATTCCAAATTCATGTACGTTAAATCAACTTGTCATTTTAAGTATGAAACTTAAGTTGTACATAGTTGCATACAAATTAACAAAATCATCTCTTTCGGACCTTTCACTATTATTTCATATGGGGAGGGGGGGCGGGGGCATTCATGTCTTACAGACATTTTCTAGTTTCACTCTGCCTTTTGAATACAGGTGTTACATGATCATTTACCATAAGGCAGGGAAACTTCATGTAGATATATACATATTAAACATGTGAAAGAGAGATGAAACAAAAGATTGAGCAAAGCCGTTAATATTTTTTGGAGGAATGGTGACAGGCCAAGAAGATTGGTTAGTATTAGGAGATTCAGTTGATGAATAACGCTCCGTTCCGTTATATTGAGTGATGACAAAATATTTTCTAGGTAAAGGACTGTCAGGTGGTTAATCGTCAGCAATCATTGAAAGTTCCAGCTTTATCAATGTGATTTATTTTTAGATCACCGTTTGATACCTAAGAAGAGTCAGTTTCACATTTGGTGTGAAGATTCATTACTGATTTTACAACTAGCCACTATTTCCGATGGGGGTTGTAAAAAAAAATAGCAACCAAAAACGTTAATTGATATGAATACTTTGCTTTGGCTACACAGATTAAGACAATTAATTGGTTTCGAATGGTTCTAAATTGGTCCCAAAAGGCCGCGTTGTTGTTAAGTTATGCCTTAGAATTTATAAGTCTTATTTTGTCCTGATTTCATTTTTTATCCAGACATTAACATTGGTTCTAACTTTTACTGTTTTTAGGAACAAAGTGACCGACAGCAGATGACATCAGGTCATTAAGAATATCATTCATGGGTCAATATCATCTTGTAAATGGATGTACCAGACAACTAAACCATCATAGTTGGTATTTGAGAAATAGAAAAGGATTTCCCTATGCGATAGTAGTCGTAGCCACTGATATCGGCATTATGATAAATCTAGCGCATAAACAGTCACGTTTGAAAATCTATTGGATACTTTACAGAAACCGGTAGGTGTCCATCATGTTCGAACTACGTTATATTCGCTTCCTCTCTCCTTAATATGAAAGCTTCAAGTGGATTAAGCTAATACTGCATCTGGTGACCTGTGGAAACTTGCTTGCTTTAAGACTTTATAAATATATTGATGATGTGGCACAATATGGGAGTTGATGCTATAAACATCAGCAATATTTTACACGAGAAGTCTGTTCAGGCTGCTAACATTCCACCATACTTTGAAAGTAGAAACACCCCTGTAATTTCCTACAGTTGCTCCAAACCCATTACATCAAAATATTTCATCTACAAACAAATAATGCAGCAACAGAATGGAAATGACCCAGAACAAGTCCTGCGTTAGCTTGTTCTTTTTCTACCTCTACTTATAGCTATGGTCCAACTGGGCACATAGTAACTGGTGATTTAAGCATTATTCAAAATGTTAAGTTACGGCAACTTTTTATGAAGAGTCTGTTATATCGTAAAACCTTGTCTATTAATTGGAATGTGAACTTCAATGTACTTATGGTGTCTGTTGAAAACTCTGAAAGAGAATGGGCAAAACGAGAACATGCTGCGTTGGATTTACTTTCTGAGTGTGTTAA